ATCATAATCATCATACTAAAAGTTTTAAAACTAGCTAGACAATTATTAGTTGGAACACTTGGTCATATGTTTCTCTTAATTAGATGTAGTTGGAGACAACTATTAATTTGCATATTTAGGCTTGTCTATAATAAACACTGAGTTTGATTTTTGTCACTGGAAATTTGGGATCGCAAGATTTTGTCACACTGGCACCACACAGAACCAAGTCTATGTTTATAGCGGTGGTGAACATAACAAATCTTGGAGACAAAGTATCCCTGAATAAAGGTAACTGCTAACATGAGACATAAGTGGCTAGAGACAGCTGTTATATGAAATCTAATTTGTGACTTTAGAGTTGACATGAGTTGAAGAAAATATCGAGATTGATCAAGAGAAGACATTGAAAATGTTGTTAGTTTAAGAAGTTTGAGCAACCTTTACAAAGACATCTTCAAGAGTTTTGTCTGCTAGTCCCCAAGCCACCACTGGAAACATCATCTTCGCCTTCTCCAACGCCTGAAAGACCTCTGCGATCTTCACCTCTTGCTTTGGAAGCTCAAACTTCTGTGTCCCGGCGGTTCGATATATCTTCTTTGCATTCTCAGAAATGTTATCTACTAACTTCTCCACTTCTTGCTCGTGTTCGTCTGAAGTTGTCACGGTGAGTATATAGGATCCTCCATATCGTGCCTTCAACTGTCATTAAGGTTTCAGTTAAAACTTTCTTCTAAGAGTTTCTGATGAATTTCAATACTATATTGGCTCAAGTTCAGGTTCTGCAATTGGTCGTTAATTCAGTTATTCTCTGTTTTCAACTATTTAAGCATACTGTTTTAGTTTTACCTCCTTTGGATTGCCTATGCATTGCAAACTACCATCAACGAAAATTCCAAGACGATCACATAAAACTTCAGCTTCTTCCATTGAATGTGCTGAAACATTAAACCAAAGCTAAAGTCTTTGTTTTTGCATGAAGAAATTATGAGGCAAAGCAAATTAGTGATAAGAAGCTTAGAACACTCTACTGGTGAGTATTATCGCCGCTTTTCGCTTAGCCTGTTTTACTACATCCCATAAACTCTTCCTCGAGGCTGGATCAAGCCCGGTACTTGGCTCATCCATGTAAACAACCTTAATGAATTCCCACAAAAGACATTACATATAAGGAGTTAATACATCTTATCATAAATCTTTGATATCAAAAGAGGTTTCAAATTACTTTGGGGCTTCCTATAAGAGAAATGGCAACGCTGAGCCGTCTCTTCATCCCCCCGCTGTATTTCCCGACTTGTATATCGCCTATCCCTCCATGGAAAAGGTTGACACTGCGTAGCGACTCTTCGACAGCCTAAAACCAGAGAAACTCATCAGTTTTTGCTTTTACACATAAGTCATTCACTAAATAAAAACATTAAAATATAGACTTACTTGTTTTAAGACAATCCCTTTGACATTCTTGAGCCTTCCATAAAAAAGTAGATGTTCCCTTCCACTCAATGTCTCCCATAGGAGACTGCAGTAAATTCAATGAATGGCTAAGAAACAGCCTCAAAGAAGAGAATGAAACAGAAATTTTATTTAGAGATTACTCATGTTGTGGACAGACTCCAATTGTTGTATATATCCGGTCCATATCGGTTAATATGTCAAGACCTTGGACAAGTGCTGTGCCAGACGATGGTTTGATGATTCCTGTCATCTATACACAAAACATTATTAGTATGCCAAGAAGGTTGACCAGAAGATGCGAGATTAACTCATTAGCAGTGGAGTTCATTAGATAAAAGATCAATAGATATAATATTCAAACGGACCATGTTGATGAAAGAAGTTTTGCCTGCTCCATTAGGACCAAGCATGCCAAAGCATTCTCCTTTATGTAAAGCAAGAGATAATCCTCTTACCGCGAGTTTCTCAGGATTCCCGTCCTTACCTGAGTACACCTTCTTGAGATTATTGCATAAAACCGCGCAGTTTCCACTTGATTCAAGTAGATGCTGCTCTACTTTCTCCCTCTGACACCAAAAAAATATGCATACAAAAATCTTACTCAGCCTTGTAAATATTCAAACTGAACTTGATGTTATCTCTCTTTACCTCTTGACACACATCTGGTTTCTCCATTTCAACGACAACTTTTGAAATTTGGTTGTTAGAGAAGTGATGCTGAGTCTTCATTGAACAGTTTTGTAGGAAGAAGAAGAATGGATGTTTCCTGGAGTAAGTGATTTGATCAATGTAATATGCTGAAAAAAGAAGTAAAAGCCACTCAATGAGCATGATGCAAGTAACTTCTTTCATCCCATTATCAAAATCCCTCCATCTCATTCCATCAACTCCGCGGTAATCTCCCGTAAACGCAGACTGTGATAACTCATATAGCCCGCGGTATAAAGAAAATCCAGGGTATAACTCCATTGCAATTATCCATCCTCCTACAGAAAACTCACATGATTCATAATAATAAATCTAGCAAAAAATTTGATTCGGGTTTAAGAACTTACTTGGGAAGAGAGGATCTTCCAAGAAGAATTGAAAAAGAAATATTCCTAGGAGCCCGGTTCCAAAGACATATATGTATGCTATAACTGAAAATGTGATAGTTGTGATCATGATTTTGACAAATATTGAACTAAAGCCACAATGAATGCAGTACCTGTAGCAGTTTTAACATCTGAAAACATTGCAGAGGCTAAAAAGGCTATTGATATTTGGAGATTTATGTATATCAGGAAGAACACAAGTTGGATACTATAGTCATTAAGCCTGAAGAAGTTTAACCCTGCAGAAGAGTAATAACATCAAGTACTGAGAAGGAACATACAAAGATTTAGAGGTAACATATATTAGCAAATTGGTTAGAGCTTGAGTTATTATTACCAATGGCTAAACCGAATATCGCGAAGCAAAACATGTATAGAATCGATATTAGAAGAAAATATGCGTATGAAACTATCCAGTAAGGAACATCGCCAAGTCCATGCATTTTCATCATGATTCTTAACCTCTGTTGCTTCTCATAGACCAGTGTTGATAAGATCACCTATAATATGATTCATAGGGAAACTGTGATCAAAGCCGAGATGAAGAATTATTTAAAACGTTTCATTGAGATAATGTAAAGACTTACAGGGAATAACAACAGAATGACCCATGTGAAGAAGAGCGGGCCGATTAGAGAGGCGATGTCTAGGCTCAGTTTAGTCTCGGGTTTAGGCATTTCCTTCACATACTCAAAGAGTATCTTTGTCTCAGAACCTCTTAAGAACTCAAGATATGCATTAGATGCCTGAAAAATTACAGACAGACAAAAACGACTATGAATTCAAGATTGTTTAGTACATGATAACATCTATGTTTGAGTAAAGGGTTAAGCAGAAAATGCACCAAATTAACTAAGCGAGGGACTCGAATCAGAGCCATAGGTCGAACCACCGTATCATTCTTGTAAGTAGAGTTATACCAGACACAAACATTGAGATTGTTCCCATTTGTGTTCTGAAAATCAAAAGCTATAAAAATGGAAAGTTAAAACACAAACTCCCATAATATTTTTAAAAAGTGAGATGAGATGATGATGAAAGACCTCCAGCAAACTCATTGATCTTCTCATCTGGATTTCCTTTACGGTATCCCTTAAAAATCTCGCTGTTCACATCGGAAGAACTATTCCGCCACACATTAAAGCCTTGGACACAGTTTACCTCTAGACATAAGAAATAAAAATCCTCTGTTTTTAAGAGCATTCTTGAATAGATACAAGACTTTGATATTGTAAGAATTGGAAGTTGTTTTGTTATACCTTTAGGGGAAGCAAGAGGTGACTGGTGAGCTAAGATTGAGAAAGAAGAGTTTGGTGAGCATTCATGTTGGATGTTGTAGATGGGAAGATCTGAGATGAAAGCAGAGTCCATATAATTTGTGTATGCAGGGTAAGATGATGATCCCTGCATAGGAATTATAAAGTCAGAGAATGAGAAAACACAAAAACATATTCAAGATGAAATGTAACATTGGTTCATTAACTTACCAAGACATAATTGGCTAAACTTCCATCAAACTCAGATGAATTGCTATACATATTTCCCATTAGAACTGGAAAAACAAAAAATTTAATTATAAACATTTCCATATCTCAAAGGAGTAGATTGATAGGGTTTATACTTTTTCCGAGGGACTGATTATTCCCGGTGAAGAGAAAAGTTGCAGGGGAAGAATGGCTCGGGTGTGGGGTCGCGGCTTGGTATTGAGGAGCCGGGATTTGAAGTAACGGAGTCCATTGTGGTGGATTAGGAATGGCGCAAAACGCTGCTTGCTCTGAATTCGAATACCTTAAGTCACAAGTATTCTCTTTGCAGCCACATTGGCCATGAACGTCGTTGAACTGAGAGTCGAAGAGCATTTGAACAACAAGGAGAAGTAGACAGAGGAAGAAAGGGATCGTGACGAGACGTATATTGCTCCACATGTTACGTTTCTGCATCAAAGACAACAAAACTTTATTGTAAAGTTTTACTCTGTTTTAGCCGTTTTAGTAGTGAGTATGTTGAAACCTGGAAAACTAAATTCTTCCTAAGTAAAGCGTCGGCTTGAGTCAAGAAACTCGCAGGACTCGAATCAGCCATCACAGGCGAATATGAGAAGATTTGATGTACTCGAATTGTTTTTCAGGAATCTCTAAATGTTTTCATAGATGTAGATAAAGAAAAAGATAGCAAGACTTGAGATAACATTTTAACTATACACGTTACTGAAGTGGCATATAGGTATTGGACAATGACACTGCATTTTCTTGTAAGTTATTTCGTGTAGGTCAAGTTATAGTATTCCTTGCATCACTCACCTAAGATATTTACTCTTTACCAAAACCTATACAAATATGAATAAAATATGACAAATATGGGTTTTATTGACACAGTTTAGTAACTCAGATTAATCTCAACTTATATGACATTGCGAACATCTGCAAATTGTAGTTGTGTGTGTCATCTCTCCTGCTACAGAAGCTTTAGTAATGGTTACAAGTATAAATGTATAATCTCATTGAAAAATTTATGAACTTTGTATAATATTTTTCAGTAATATACATGTAATCTGTAGTAGCAATTTGACATAATTGACACATAAATCTAAGAGGGTCAAGAAAAGACATTAAAAGCCTGACCGGTTCTAGCAACTTTGATAAAGACATCTTCAAGAGTTGTGTCTGCGAGTCCCCAAGCGAAAACCGTGAAGTTGCTCTTCGCCTTCTCTACAGCCTGGAACACCTCTGAGATCCGAACCTCCTCCTTTGGGAGCTCAAACTTCTGAGTTCCTGCGATGTGATATATCTTCTTGGCGTTTGGGGAGACGTCTTGAATCAGCTTCTCCACTTTTTGCTCGTGTTCTGAAGATGTCGTCATCGTTAACACATAAGATCCACCGTACCTTCCCTTCAGTTCTTTAGGGTTGCCAATGCATTGCAAGCCCCCGTCCACGAAAATACCCAATCGGTCACATAGAAATTCTGCTTCTTCCATTGAGTGTGTTGTGAGGATTATTGCGGTGTTTTGTTTCGCACGCTTGATGACAGTCCATAGGTTCTTTCTCGAGGCTGGATCAAGTCCTGTGCTTGGCTCATCCATATAAACCACCTTCAAGGCAAAAGAAAGAGAACAAAAATGTTAAGCTTAGAAAATATTAACTCTCTAGGAGTACTATTTATAAAGTTCAAAGGTTACTAAGTCTATGCGAACCAGGAATTCTCAGACAATGGTATACCTTAGGATTCCCGATAAGTGAAATGGCTACGCTCAGCCGCCTCTTCATACCTCCGCTGTATTTCCCAGCAGGTTTGTCGGCAACTCCTCCATGGAAAAGGTTGACACCCTTTAGAGATTCTTCCACAGCCTAATGGAAGGTGATGGATAAAAATGAGAAAAGAGGAATTAGCAACCGTGAAATTGATGTTTGGATAACTTTTGAAGTAATACACAAGGGAATTAAGATTGATAAAAAGTACTTGGTCGAGATCAGAGCCTTTGAGATTCTTAAGTCTTCCATAAAACAGCAGATGTTCCCTTCCTGTCAGTGTTTCCCAGAGCAAGCTGGACAATAAGAGAATGATTACACAATTATAGTGGGAACAGTAAGAAACTATTCAATTGTAGCTTTCTTGCAAAAGAACAAAATGAAATGACTTTTCAAGAATTTGATCACTTACTCGTGCTGCGGACATACACCCATGCTAGTGTACACTCTTTCCATATCATTGCATATATCCAAACCCTGAACAAGAGCTGTCCCAGATGTTGGTTTCAGGAGCCCAGTCATCTGGCCAGGATTATACAGTACATATTAGTAACGCTACAAGATTAAAAGCTAAGCTCAATTCAGCACAAAAGATTTTGTCCATGTGGGTACTGACCATATTGATGAAGGAGGTCTTGCCTGCACCATTGGGTCCTAACATGCCAAAGCATTCACCTGAAGGCACAGCGAGAGATAACCCCCGGACTGCCAATTTAGGCGGGTTCCCATCCCTACCAGGATACACCTTCTTCAGGTCGTCACATACAATCGCATGGCTTAAGCTCGACTGAAGCATCAACTTCTCCACTTTTTCTCTCTGATTTGAACATTTCTTGTTATCAGAATTCAGAACAAGAATTATCAAGAACATGGAATATACTGTGAAACCTTTTGACATACCTCTTGAGTAACATCCGGTTTCTCCATCTCAACGGAGACTTTGGAGCCTTGCCTCTGCAAACTAGGCCTTCTCAAAGGAGATTTCTTGAAAGGGTTTTGCAAGAAGAACAACGGGTCTTTTCCGGATGAAGAAATCTTATCGATATAGTATGCTGCAATGAGCGCGAGAAACCACTCAACGATAATGATGTAGAAAACTTCATCCATAGCACTATCACTGAAATCTTTCCACTTCATCCCATCTTGCCCTCTCAAATTTCCCCGGAAAGCAAATTGTGCAAACTCATACAGCCCACGGTATATGGAGAAGCCGGGAAATAACTCCATGACAATAATCCAGCCTCCTGGAAAAGCATAATTATAGTGCAATCGTGGTCAATTGTGTGAATAAACACATCAATGAATGTATTGAGTATCGTTCTTCAAGATGACAATAACTTACTAGGAAATGATGAATCTTCAATCAGAAAGCTGAGAAGAAATATTCCCAAAAGTCCAGATCCAAACACGTATATGTAAGCAGCAACTATGATTAAGACATATGAGAAAACAAATTAGCTTCTTTTAAACCCCAACATGTTCTTGATTAAATTCAAGAAGCACAATGTTAGTTTAGTACCTGTTGCTGTCTTGACCTTTGTAAATAGTGAGGAAACTAGAAAGGCAAGGGCGATTTGCAGATTTACATAGATAAAATAGAATGCGAACTGGATGCTGTAGTCATTAAGCCGGAAGAACTTCAGTCCTGCAGGGAACCAGCAACTATAAAGACACTGATTGGAAAAACAAACGTGTATCAAATATGTACTGTAAGATATATGTTGACAGAAAGGCTTGAGTTACCTATTGCTGACCCGAATATCATCAGACATATAACGTATAACACGGATATGGTAAGAAAGTAAGCATATGAAATCATCCAATATGGACCATCTCCTAACCCATGCATTTTCATTATAATCCTTAGATGTTGTTGCTTCTCATACACTAATGACGACAAGATCACCTATATATAAACAAATGGCTCTGAGTATGAATTTTATAGATCACACTATATGTCAGAGTGAATATTTGTGCAATAAAACGTAAGTAGTCTAATGAAAATAAACTTACAGGGAACAGAAGAAGAATAACCCATGTGAAGAAAAGGGGACCAATTAGAGACGCTATGTCTAGACGAAGACTTGTTTCGGGTTTAGGCATTTCTTTGGCATATTCAAACAACATCTTTGTCCCAGGGCCTAGTAGAAATTGGAGGTACGCATTTGAAACCTGCAGTTTGGCAAAGTGTAAGCCTCAGTTCAATCAAGAAAGCATATCCACATGGTAAAAAAACATATTGAGAATGCAATGATGAGGATGTCTTAGAGTTGTTGTTGTCTTACCAAATTGACTGAGCGGGGAACTCGGACCAGCTTTATTAGTCTACTTCCTCCATCCTCCTTGTACGTTGAATTATACCATATGTGCACATTGAAGTTGTTCCTATCCGTGTTCAAGAGATCATATGCTACAAAAAAAATCAGACAAGAATAGTCAGAAATGTTATGTGCATATTAAGAATTTGTTATAGAAACCGAGTGAGAAGTTAAACCAACCTGCAGCGATCTCGTTTATCTTTCCCTCAGGGTTTCCTTTCCGATAGCCCTTGAAAATATCATCATTGACCTCTCTGGAGATATTTCTCCAGAGATTTAATCCTTGTACACATCTCAACTCTGGTTTTGACACAAACATTGAGTTAACAGACAATAACAGAACAATATTTAGACAAAAGAAGTATTATGTGTAACAAACTTGGGATAGAACGCATCCAGATTATACTAAACTAACACTGATACAAACATATTTACAATTCAGTATCCCTCTTTTAATTTGACATCTTAAACATGTATGAGATTGAAAACTCAATAATACCTTTGGTAAAATTGAGAGGTGGTTGTCCAAATGAGAACGGCAAAGAAGCATTGAGAATGCACCGAGGTTGGATACTGTAAATGGAAAGATTTGAAGCAATCCCTGTATCAAGATAATTTGTGAAATCTGGCTCAGCTGTTGTACCCTGAAACATGAACGCAAGAAAGCTAAATAAACAGATTCATCACACACTTGACAGTGGAAACAAACAGGTTCAAACCACAAAACTCACCAGGACATTATTAGCTAAAGCACGCAAGAGGTCAGAGGAGTTTGCGGGTATAGAAGTAGTGAGCAGATTCCCAGATACAGCTAGAGAAAAACATGAAAGATTAGTTCAACTGAACACAATATAAAACATGCCAAAAGAACATAGAAAAAAGAAAAGAGAAAGAGACATACTTCCTCCAAGAGAACGGTTATTTCCAGTAAACAGGATAGTAACAGGACAAGTCCCAGTTCGTCTACAAGAATCATCATTAAGATCTCTCACATCACGGCTCTCAGGGCGCGGTATTTGTAACAAGGGAGGCCACAGCGGAGGACTTGGAATGGAACAAAAGAAGCCTTGATCCGCAGAAGAGTACTGAATACCGCAAACCTTTTCGCGTATACCATCTCCATTGGTGTCAACCAAATCACAACCACATCTGTTATCAGCAGAGTTGTTAACTTTAGTATCGAACAGAAGCTGTATCAAGACTAGAAATATGCAGAGGTAGAAAGGGATCATGATAAGCCGAACATTGCTCCATAGATTCCGTTTCTACACCAAAAACAATTCACACGATTACGAATTAACAACAACATAATCATAGCATATCTCAAACCACCTTGTATCAAAAATTACACTAAAAAAATCATATCAAAACTAAATCAATAAATTTATTCAGGCATTGAAAGTATTGTAGAAACTGATCCATCAAGTTCCAGAATATAGAATATAAAAAAATTCGAATAAATCACATTATTACAGAACACAATCTACTCACATTAAAGACGATGTCTACGTATGTAGACGAAACGAAACAGGTTGTGTATGTAACTGGATACCTTAGAGGAGAAGGAAAGGAAACATATATTACCTGATAGGTTAAATTTTTCCTAAGTAAGGCATTGGCTCTCGTTGAGAAACTGGCAGGACCTGGATCCGCCATTGATGATGGAGATTTTGGTCGATTTCTCTGATTCGTCTTCTGTATGAACTACTCTTTAACGCTTTGTTTATAGTCTTTTTAGGGTTTTGTTATAAGTTTTGGGTTTTTAGATTAAAACAAATAAGAGAATTGAAATCCTAAGTTTTGTTTGAACTGAGAAGGAAAGAAATCAAAACCACCGCCTTTTGGGTTTCATATAGCAGGCGGAGGAGAACAAACAGAGAAGAACTCTGAGATCAGATTACGGATTAAATTACGATAGTACCCTTATACACACGCATTTATTTAATTTTTGTTAAGTACTTCTTAATTAGGTACTTTTTCTCACATATAGTATTAATTTTTATTTTGGGATTATTCTAATAGTCAAATAACGGAAAAGGTAAATAATTTCAACGAGAAATCAAGAATTTAAGAAAGCGACTTTAATTAATATTTAGTCAATGTTAGTTAAATTTGGTAGGAAGCTGCGAAGGAGAGTGATCCCACGACCACTAATAAGATTCTTGAACTAGTGGAAGATGTGAGTTTCAATTATTTTGTTTATTATTCACTACTGTTGAATAGTAGATGATTAATGCGTCATCACAGACGTAATCACGTGTGAAACGTAATTGATAAACACTATTCTCTCACGTATGTTGGATCACGTAAACTATAATATATTTTTGACCATCTTAATAATAAATATTAAAACCTTTTTAAAATTAGTTTTGATCAAAAATTCAAACCTTTTTCTGATGTGGCAGATACTTGGACAAGAAGCAAAGCAATGCATGATTCGATTTCGAACCAAAGACTTGCGTACATGAATGATGTTATACGAAAAAGTCTTATTATATTTCACATTCAAAACATTAATTTCTTTTCTTTTTCTTTTTTTTTAATCGAAGGTGATTTGAGTTTTCACCATCCAAGTAATTTTCACAAAAGCGTGTAGCCATCGAATAGCTTACCCACCAATCCGACTGGTCAAAATAAAATTGTTTCTTTTTGGTGAAAAGTCAAAATAAAATTGTTTAGTAACAAAAATCGATCCTTAAAATTGTTTAGTAACAAAAATCGATCCTTGATCTGCACTTGTTATCGAAAATTTTGACAATTTTTTTATTATATAGTTAGGGTATTTAACTAGAACAACATATCCATAGACCCATAGGACTATTACAATTTTTTAATCGTGTGCCTTAAACTAAAACATACATTTACGATATAATAAAATTCTTCCTCTGTCTATGATAGTATGATGTTTTTGAGATTTTTTTTTAAAAAAAAATGATTTTGTAGATTAAAAAACTAAATTATAATTTTTTATGTTTTTTTCCGCATGTCATGTAATGCAATGGTCTTTATTTTCTCTTTTCCACCAAAATAAATTATAAGCTAATTCATAAACAAATATTTAACTTTTTTAAAAATAAGTAAAAATGTAAAAACATCATTTTTTTAGAAATAGAGAGAGTAATAAACTTAGAAATAATATATTGGATTAGACTATCTTTAATGGTAATATCTTATGGTGTTTTTAGCTTTTTATTACGAAACTAATGTTAAGAGCCAATATTAAGGGGGTGTTATTGGATAAAGGTATTTAATGGATTTAAATTACTAAATGGATTTTAAAATTTGATGGATTTCTAATACATTGAACGTGGATTTGGTATTATTATGTGGATTTGAAATACATCACTAATGGATTTGAAAGTTAGTAATAGTGGATTTTATAATTTTTCCAGTTAAATAAAAATGCAATATTTTAGGCTATTTCTTTGTTAAATCAAACTAAAAAAAATCTAAAGAAAAAAAATCATTTGAATCAGAAGAATTTGGGTTTGTTGAATTAGATCGACAAGGTTTTTAACATTAGAGCCAAAAATGGATTTTTCGTAAATCAAAACTTAGATCCATAAAAACCAATTAGAAAAATGTTTTCTATGTATAATGGTAGTTTCTGATTCTGATCTGGTTTTTATAATTTTTCAGAAATCTGGGATTTGTTTAATTTCTTCTTTACACCATGTTAAAGATGAAGAAGAAACATAACATCCTCCTTTGTGCTTCTACCTGGAGTAAATCTGGAGTAAAGATCTAGAATTTTTTTATTAAGAGAGAAGAAGAGACTGAGAAGAATAGAGAGAGAAAGAGAAAGAGAAGGAGGAATAGAAAGATTTAGAATACGTGAGAAAATATATTGGATTTTGTTTGTTCATATTTTTAGAATGAAATACAATGAAATCTGAAATGATACCAAATCACTTGCACATTGAATAACACTGTTTTCAAAGTATTTTAAAATACATCAAACAAATACATAATCCAATAACACTGGATTTTAATGTACTTTATAAATTACCTAATTGAATAACGACTGATTTCAGAATCCATTCAATTCTTTTAAAATACACAGTTCAATAACCCCCTCTAAGAGACTATCAATAATGTTGATTTAAATCCGTAAGTGGTACATCCACATACCACAATAGACAATTGTATAGCAACAACTTACATAGAAAAATTTGTTGTCAATAAACCATCCACAAACAACACAAGTTATTAAAAACCTCAGAAATTCACAAACTTGCAGCCTATTGTCATTTACCAACTACAGTAAAACCTCTATAAATTAATACTCGATAAATTAATAATCTCTATAAATTAATAAATTTCTTCGGTCCCAGGTTGGGACCAGTGTAATTTTAGACATATTTCGATAAAATAATAAGATAATAATTTTTTTGAAAATCCTTTGTAAATATATGGTCCCAATAATATTATAAATTAATAATTAGGTAAAATTTTCAAAATATATATATATAGAGACACATTAGTTTTTGTTAGAGTTTATTTCTAATATTTTACTATATCAAAAATGGTTAGCATTCTCTTTCAAGACATAATAATTATTATTTTCTTTGTAATTGATTATATAAAATACTAATTATCATGATTAAATCTCATTTTAAAATATTTTTCTGAAAAAACTTTCAAATTAGAAAAATCTCTCTATAAATTAATAATTATTAATTTATCGATAAATTAATACCTGTATAAATTAATAGATTTTCATGGTCCCAACATTATTAATTTATAGAGGTTTTACTGTAATGTAAATAAATGATCAAACCTATGCATGGCCAATTTTATCAAACATGAACAAGCCAATGTTGATGCTTAACTATCTTCAAATGATTAATCTTCGGAAGATTCAAGAGAGGATATTAGAGGTCTGACAAGTTCTAGCAACCTTAATGAAAACATCTTCAAGAGTTGTGTCCGCAAGTCCCCAAGCAAACACCTTGAACTTTCCTTTTGCCTTCTCCACCGCTTGGAACACTTGTGAGATGCGAACTTCAGCTTTTGGGATCTCAAATTTTTGTGTCCCTGCTATGTGATATATCTTCTTGGCGTTTTGAGAAACATCTTGAACCAACAACTCCACATCTTTCTCATGTTCTGAGGATGTTGTCATCGTAAACACATAAGATCCACCATACCTTCCCTTTAGCTCTTTTGGATTACCTATGCATTGTAACCTTCCGTCTACAAAAATCCCCAACCGGTCACAAAGAAACTCTGCTTCTTCCATTGAATGTGTAGTGAGGATTATCGCGGTGTGTTTTTTTGCGGATTTGATGGCTGTCCATAGGCTCCTTCTTGAAGCTGGATCAAGTCCTGTGCTTGGCTCATCCATATAAACCATCTTTTAAAAAAAAATGTAAAAATGGATTTGTTAAAGCTTTCTAGATCACATGAAATAAGGGTTCTCCATAGGTTTTTCAGTAGATTAGTAAGAGAAAATGGTGTACCTTAGGGCTCCCAATAAGTGAAATGGCTACACTTAGCCGCCTTTTCATGCCTCCACTATATTTCCCAGCAGGTTTATCAGCAACTCCTCCTCGAAACAGGTTCACACTCTTAAGAGACTCTTCTACAGCCTAGTAACCATGAAGTGACATTTTAATATTTGGAGTAATGTAGTAAAAACAACAAGTAAGGGATTACTAACATACATGGTGGAGATCAGAGCCTTTAAGATTTTTAAGCCTTCCGTAAAAGAGCAGATGTTCCCTTCCTGTCAGCGTTTCCCAAAGCAAGCTGGTACACACAACAGAGAACAAGACAATGAAGACAGTTATATATGATGGAATAAGTTCAAATGTTTCCAAGAATATAATTACTTACTCATGTTGTGGGCATACACCCATGCTAGTGTATACTCTATCCATATCTTGACATATGTCCAAACTTTGGACAAAAGCTGTTCCGGATGTTGGTTTCACAAGCCCAGTCATCTACCCAAAAAAGTATTAATCACTATCATATAAAAGATATGAGCATGTCCACTCATTGTCAATTGGTTCAAAGTCGGAAACCAATAAATTTTCAACACTATAACGACTCACAAAAATATAGAGTACAATTTATATTATTCATGAAAGATGTTTTCAATAAGAATCAAGTATGTATACACATAATTTTCTATCCATTTGTGTACTCACCATATTGATGAAGGATGTCTTCCCTGCACCATTGGGTCCTAACATGCCAAAGCATTCTCCTGAAGGCACAGCGAGAGATAACCCTCGAACGGCCATTTTAGGCGGATTCCCATCCCTACCTGGATACACCTTCTTCAGGTCGTCACATACAATGGCATGGCTTGTGCTCGACTCAAGCATCAACTGCTTGACTTTTTCACTCTGATTAGAACAAGTTTCTTTTCATCAACCAAAAAAAACAAGAAAAATGCAAAGAACATGGAAAGTATTTGTGAATAATTTTTGTTATACCTCTTGAGCAACATCTAGTTTCTCCATTTCTATTGAAACAGCAGGTCCTTTTCTCTGTAAGCTATGCCTTTGAGGAGAAGTAGATTTCTTGAAAGCTTTTTTCAAGAAAAGGAAAGGGTCTTTCGCGGATGAAGAAACTCGGTCCATATAGTATGCTGCAATAAGTGTGAGAAACCACTCAACAATAATGATGTAGAAAACTTCATCCATTGCACTATGACTAAAATGTTTCCACTTCATTCCATCACTCCCGTTCAAGTTTCTCTTTAGAGCATACACAGAGAACTCATACAACCCACGGTATAAAGAGAAGCCCGGATATAACTCCATAACAAAAATCCAGCGTCCTGAAAAAAATAAGTAAACATTATATTAGCATTGTGGTTTGTTTTTTGAGAATATGTGTTTCTTCAAGTTGGTCTTGATAGCTTACTTGGAAATGATAAACCTTCCAACAGAAACTGGAAGAGGGAACCGCCCAAGAGCCCGGATCCAAACACGTATAGGTAAGCAACAACTACAGTTGAGCCATAAAAATAGAGTGTTTCTTATAAGTAAAACCATTATGTTCTTGAGCACATTTAGTTAAAATGTGACTTTAGTTAGTACCTGATGCTGTCTTAACCTTTGCAAATACTGAAGAAACTAGAAAGGCAAGGGAGATTTGCAGATTGATGCAGAGAAAATAGAAAACGAACTGGATACTGTAGTCATTAAACCGGAAGATCTTTAGTCCTGCAAACGAACAACAACTCTCAAAAATGTGTTTTAACTCTATCTAATAAGATAAGAAAATATTAAGATTAAGATACAATACCTATTGCTGAGCCAAATATTATCAGGCATATAATGTACAACGTAGATATGACTAGAAAATATGCGTAGGTTACTATCCAATATGGACCATCTCCTAGGCCATGCATTTTCATTATAATTCTTAGACGTTCCTGCTTCTCATACACCAATGAGTTCAAAATCACCTGCATTATATGAATAAAGTGCTTCTTACTATTGAAGTCTCATGATAGGTTGTTCTGAATGAAGCATTCTATTGAAAGCAAACTTACAGGGAACAAAAGAACAATAACCCATGTTAAGAACACGGGGCCAATGACAGATGCTATGTCAACACGAAGTATACTTTCTTGTTTAGGCATTTCTTTCACAAAATCGAATAACATCTTTGTCCCCGGTCCACGCAAGAACCGAAGGTAAGCATTTGAAACCTGCATTTATGTTTCAGAGTCTAAGGATGGGTTTGATCAAAAGACTTCTCCTAGGTACAAAAAGAACATGAGACACTTAGTTTAGTACTTACTAAATTTACTGAGCGAGGAACTCGGACATAGTTTACTCGCCTATCTTGTATTTTAAATTCTCCCTTGTAGGAAGAGTTATACCAGATGCTCACATTGAAGTTTTTCTTATCGGTGTTCAAAAAATCGTATGCTAGTATAGAACAAGAGAATGAGTCAGAAGTTGCATATGTCAAATAAAATACAGAGACAAATGATGAGAGAAGTGGAACAAACCTGCAGCGACCTCATTGGTGATCTTTTTAGGATTTCCTTGAAGATAACCCTTGAAGATCTCATCGTTGACCTCTACGGAGCTATTTCTCCAGAGACTCAATCCTTGAAGGCATCTCACCTCTGTTTTGACACATTATAATCATTTTCTCATAAGCTAGCTTTGAGTGAGCCCCAAGAAATATTAATGTCTAAACTTACAAACTAACTTGGACACATGAGTCAGATAAGTTTTAAACTTACAAAGAAAAACAATTTCTCAAGTAAAATCTGCATATATTATGTTCACTTCATTAGGTCCACTAGAGTGTATATAGTGATATATGTTGTAACCAATTTTACAAAATAGATTGTAACTTTTGTAAAATCTCCTAGAATCATTGCAGTGACAACATGTAAACTTGTGAACTTAATACCTTTATGAAACGTGAGAGGTGTTTGTCGGAACAAGAATGACAAGTTGGTGGATGGCATGCACCGAGGTCGGATTTGGAAAATGGGAAGATCAGAGTGTAACCCTGGATCAAGATAATTGGTGTAGTCTGCTTCTGATGTTGTACCCTGAATATAAATATAAACTCAATGATAAATCCTGATAGAATTAGTCGAAACAACCAAAATTAAAGCAGAGAAGAACTTGCCAAGACATCATAGGCGAGATTACGCAAGTACAGGTCAGAGGAGTTCACTGAGAAGATTCTGAGATAAAGCTATATAAAAACAAATGTGAAGATTAGTTATAGAGGAAACTGTGTTACGATAGTTCTAAGAAACATGAAGTAAATTAGTTAAAGACATACTTGCTCCAAGAGAATGGTTATTTCCAGTAACAAGTATAGTAACAGGACAAGATCCTGTTCGTCTGCATGAGCCACGGACAGGATCAACAACTGAACGCGTTTCAGGACGAGGGATTTGTAGTAACGGGAGCAAAGGTGGAGGGTTAGGGAAAGCACAAAAGGAGGCTTGAGTCAGAGATGAATACTCTAAACCACAACTCTTTGTTTCGCATTTGCCATCTCCATTTTTCTCGATGCATCGACAACCGCAACGGTTATCAGCAGAGTTATTAACCTGAGTATCGAACAAGACTTGAATCCCTACTAGAAGTACGCAGAGGTAGAAAGGGATCACTATGAGCCGAACGTTACTCCATATGTTCCGTTTCTACACAAGTTGACATATATATATTATTATTAACATCAGTGGATATAACACATGCATGTATTGTTTGCGTCAAACCTGATAGGTTAAGTTTTTTCTGAACAAGGCATTGGCTCTAGTCAAGAAACTGGCGGGGACATGATTCGCCATTGATGAAGAAGCTTCTGTACTCTTTGCTTCTGTCGTCATTCTTTCTCTGTTTTTTTTTTTTTTTAGCATTAGCTTGTTTTGGATTTATTGGCATTATAAGTCCTGATGAGTGATGATATTGACTGTTAGATCCATGTGACCCGCTTTTATTTCGGACTTGTGAATATTTAAGTGATTGAGATATGACGTTACGTTTTTATATAGAAAAACGATAGTGGTTGAGCTATTAATTATGTCTGTTACTCACAATTTCATCCCCAAGAATTCCATTTTTTTATATGTATTTTAAAGGAATAATCCCGAAGACTTGCAAAGTTTGTGAAGCACACTTAAAACCATACTAGTGGAGAAGTACACATCATGGTTATTAGTTCCACTACTTAACCCAAATACAACGTTACAAAAAGATTCCAAACGAAAAATCAAACACGAATCTCTCTAAATTTATGTCATGATTAATTAAAACCCTAGACGATTGTCATCTTCTCCGCTCGAACTGATCATCACCACCACTGGATTAAAGACGTTTTCTCTACTGAGAGGACGACCCAAATCTAGCTAGGACAAACGAGTCAGAGCTTTAGTTACTTGTTTTGTCTAATAGTAAAAGTTTTTTAGTGTTATTTATTTGCATATGTTGCCAAAGAAAGGGAGTGATTCCACGACCAATAAATTCTTCAATAAATGTCACACTTATCTAAAGGATGTTGTGGGACAATTTTGGTTGACTATATATGGCCTTACCGTTAGAAAGACGTCGATCTCTATAACACGACAAGTGTCAAAAAAAATATTAAAACAATGATGTGAGAAATACTCTCAGTCGTGTCTTTCTCAAAGACATTGTAAATGTAACTGGTTTCCACTAACTTAATATACTACTCAGCAGTTGACAGCTTCTATCGTATGATCATGACCATCTACCTAGCTAAACCCTGTTGTGGCTTCTGCGCAAGCAAATACATCAAAAATGTTTTCCATTTTGTCATTTTTTACGCATTCAGATGTGGCGTTTGAATGTAAAAAAAGACTCAGTTTTGAGTGTATATTTGTAGTTTCGACGGTAAAACATTGTAATCCTCCAATTACGGTGCAAATTCATGTGTATTAAACTTAATAAAACTCACCTTCTATAGTATGTAGTTATATGACATGATCATGACCATTTACCTAAAACCTATTGTGGCTCTATTCGTTATATGCGCAAGGAAAGCAAATACAACAAAATGTTTTGTCAATTTTATGTATACACATTGCGTTTGTATATACAAAACCAAATGCTGGTTATGTTGAATGTAAAATAAATACAAAATATTAAGTTTGGATGTATATTTGAATCTTAAACGAAAATATATCTACAAAACTCGTGAAATTATTTATTATTTTGGATTAAATATATCATATTCTACTATATAATTTAATTATTTTACAACGAAACAGAAAGAAAACACATGAATTTGCGACATAGTTAAAGGATTACATTGTTTTACGTCAAAATTACAAAATCTGTTTTTTTTCGTGTAAAAACTAGAAAATCTTGTTTTAGAACTAAAACATCTAAATATTGTTTTATATAGTAGCACCAAAACTATGGACTTTCCGCAGCTTTAATGCCAAATAGCATATATCTACTTTTCTTCTTCATCTGCATCATCTCATATATCAGTATCATCTTTATATGTCAGCTCAAATTTATATAGCCACAATTTAAATTACATTTTTGATGCATTTTAAAATTGAAAAATTGCATTAGACTATAATCTAAAATGCGATTATTAAGGACATGCCAATAAATCAGCATTGGAACTTCAAATCTTGACAAAAGAGATTCGAGTGGGTGATCCTCACGACTCTTTTGATTCGTCGACCTCTGGGTTTAAGATTCTATTCCTATACTAATAGTTTAATTTTGTTCTGTTACTTTAATATGGAGTTATATATTACGTGTGCGCACCATCAATACTAGTATACTACCTATACGTCTATACCATTTTAAAAAAACTCTACCTAATCAAATTAAAAAAAAAAAAAACCCTACCAAATCCTTCTTAAGGCTACGAGGCGGTTACTTGAGCAATAAGTTATGCATGGTCTGACAATAATAATACAAAATATGATATAGTTGGAATAGACGACTAGCGCCATTTCTTGGGCTTTACTATATAATATACTAGCAGTTGATCCGCGCTCCGCGCATGAGGTTTATAATTTTGTTTTGTTGATTTTTTATTCATATTGTGATATTTTATTATTTTTTAATTGATTTTCAAAAAATATTATAATTATTTTCTCTTTAATTATTATCTTTCAATACTCAAATTTGGATTAAAACAATTTGATTCAATTTATGAAATATCATTTTTTCTTTCTTTTTGATCATGTTATAAACTAATATTTCACTTTCATTTTATTTTTCCACTTTATAATATTTTTCTATATACAATTTCATAAATGTTGTTTTAGTCTACCATAAATTTAAATTTTACTTCCATTCTAAAACTCAGTAACATATTTAAAATATTAAATTATGATCAATTTAAAATGAAAGTTTAATTATATTATTACCACTAATAAAAAATTAAAATATTATTTTTCTTATTTTAACATTTCAGTTTTTTACATAGTTTATTTTTATATATATAAACTTTCTATTTATTAAGTAACATAGATATGTACTAAATGAATGTTTTAAATTTATTTTAATGTTTAAGCAAAAATGTGGCTTAGGTGGATGCTTAGGTGGCATCATGAGAAGAGAGAAAAAACTAACTTTATATATATACTAGCAGTTGACCCGCGCTACGCGTGGGAGGTTTATAATTTTGTTTCTTTGATTTTTTATTCATATTGTGATATTTTTTTATTTTTTTAATTAATTTTCAAAAAATATTATAATTATTTTCTCTTTAATTATTATCTTTCAATACTCAAATTTGGATTAAAAGCACTTGATTCAATTTATGAAATATCATTTTTTTCTTTTTGATCATGTTATAAACTAATATTTCACTTTTTTTTTCCTCTTTATAATTTTATATATACAATTACATAAATGTTGTTTTAGTCTACCATAAATTTAAATTTTATTTCCATTCTAAAACTCAGTAACATATTTAAAATATTAAATTATGATCAATTTAAAATGAAAGTTGAATTATATTATTACCACTAATAAAAAATTAAAGTATTGTTTTTCTTATTTTAACATTTCATTTTTTACATAATTTATTTTTATTTATATAAACTTTCTATTAATTAAATAAGTAACATAAATATGCACTAAATGAATGTTTTAATTTATTTTAATGTTTAAACAAAAATGTGGCTTAGGTGAATGTTTAGGTGGCATCATGAGAAGAGAGAAAAAGCTAACTTTATATATATAGATATCAACTTCTTAAAGACTCAAAGTGTTTTCAATAAATACAGTAATTTTTATTATCAAAAACTAATTTATTACAGTAATTTTTTTTTCTGTCGAGTTTCACCAAATGAGTTTTATTTCCATGATACATACTGTAATTATTAACTTAATTAAGTTTAGTTTTCTACAAAAGTTGAAGATGACATGTCCGAATTCTGAATTTTCCCAATAATCCTAGTTTTCATACACAGAACACATGTTTAAATTTTGTGGATGTTAAATCATATCTTTTTGTCATGTTATAGGTAACTATATTTTCTTTAAAGTAATATATTTATAAATTAGTTAAGGTGATGAATAACTATTTTATAATATGAATAACTATTTTATAATATAAAATACAATGTTGAATGATACTAGTATCTACCAAAATTTTGTTCTAAAAACTCCTTTTATTAATGACATAGAGATATTAAAATCCACAAGTAAATCTTTGCTCCATCAATTATGCATTACATCTGGATTCATATCCAAGATATAGACATTTCACATTATCACCAAATTCATTCATACACTACCTATTATGTATTAGATCTATGTCATACGTTTAACACCAATTTTAATTACACGTTAACTTTTATCAGTAAGACACGAAAAAAATATAAAAAATTGGGCAGATTAACTACCAAACTTTTATGTAATTTATAACTGAAGAATTCTGTTTTTAATGTTGACTTTAATTCCTACTTTGTCACGATGCTGACATTGAAGAACTAGTTTAAACACAATATGCAAACATAAAAAATAAAAATTATGTTTGACAACAATATAAATCGACACGTTCTTTGACATTCAACTTAAATGATTTCATAAACTTGAACACGGCTTGTTGGAATAATTCTATAATTTTTCTTTTTATTGAGGTTCTTTAATCATTTTCAAATATTTTATTATTTTATAATCATTTCGTATTACAGATAAAATTTTATATCAGTATCGTAAATTTTACTTTTTTATTTTCTTGTTGTTTTAGAAATCTACAATATTAATCTAACACACACACACACATATTAATATATTAATATGTAAGATATTATAACATTAAGAAAATCTAAAAATATGTAAACAATTGCTTCAGTCAAAGCCCAAAAAAATATTAATACTTTTCCTAGTAGAAGTATTATTCTTTTTGTTCTCTACTCTAAATAATTTAGCAACTAATTAATTTTTCGAGGAAGTTTCGTAAGCCGCATTAGAGTGGGCAAAATCGTAATTAACTAAAAACACAAAAGTCAGATATATATATGTAAAAAAAAAAAAAAACTCTGTTAAATGGTCGTCCCCTCCAATCAAAATCAGATTCACAGTAAGTTTTTCCCAAAATTCGAAAAACGTTCCTCTGAGGCAAAGCCATGACGTTGCAGAGAGGTTTGCCTCTTCTCTGGCAACAGTACACGGCGCTTCTCCGCAAAAACCTTTTGCTTTCATGGCGGAGCAAACGAGCCACGTTTCTTCAGCTCTTCGCTTCTTTCTTCTTCATCCTCCTCATCTTCATTATCCAGGAAGCTATGGAGAAGAGCTTTGCGTCTTCCACGGCGCTCAGGACTGTTACGGATCCGACGGCGTTGGTCTCGCCTCCGATTCCGCCTTGCGAGGATAAGTTCTTCGTCAATCTTCCCTGCTATGACTTCGTGTGGAGTGGGAATCGTAGCCCGAGGGCGACGCAGATTGTTAATGCGATTATGAAGAACAATCCGGGCAGACCGATTCCTACTGAGAAGGTGTATTGTGTTTTCAATTTACTTTCTCGGTTTGATTTTGTTAATTTCTTCGTGAATTTGAGTAATTTGTAAGTATTCTTCATGAGAAATCAATTTTTTTAAGCAAAGGGTTTGAGAATTAACTGCAAAAGGTTGAGTTTTTGTAAGTCAAGTATGAAAGTTGTAACCTTTTTATTGTTGTTGTTGTTGTGAATTGTGTATTTAGGTTCGATCATTTGCGGATCCTGATGAGGTAGATGCATGGCTCTTGGCGAATCCTTTGTTAGTTCCAGGAGCTTTGCACTTTTTGGAAAGGAATGCTACAGTAATTAGTTATGGTATTCAAACTAATTCAACTCCAGAGATGAATCGAGGAAGGTTTGAAGATCCTACTTTTAAGTTCCAGATACCTCTTCAAGTTGCCGCTGAGCGTGAAATCGCGAGGTCACTGATAGGAGGTATGCGTTATCTTTTCTGTATCTTGCTGAGTCTTGGTGCCTTTTGGTAACATTTGATGTTTTAGTTCTGACATGGGAACTTGCTATTTGTTTTTGCAGATCCAAACTTTAACTGGGTTGTTGGATTTAAGGAGTTTCCTCACCCAACTATTGATGCTGTTGTTGCATTAAATTCAATAGGACCAACTTTTTTCCTTGCTGTTGCGATGTTTGGTTTTGTTCTTCAAATCAGTTCTTTGATTACCGAGAAAGAGCTCAAACTTCGCCAGGTATAACTTTGTTCTAAATAGGTTGTTAGCCCACTGTTTGTTTATATGATGTACTTCTTGTGTTTTTCCAACAGGCAATGACAATGATGGGTGTTTTTGACACTGCTTATTGGTTGTCATGGCTTACATGGGAAGGAATTCTTACTGCCATCTCGGCGCTCTTGACTGTTCTCTTTGGAATGATGTTTCAGTTCGACTTTTTCTTGAAGAACAATTTCGCTGTTGTCTTCCTACTTTTCATGCTTTTCCAGTTGAATATGGTAAAATTGTCTCGCTAAGACTAACGTTGAAATATTGTACCTTCCAAAGGGTTTATGTTTTTTGCTTTCTTCGTAGATAGTGTGTTTTCCCCTGTCTTGGTAAATCAGTCAAATGATATTTTCATTGTTTGTTTAGCTTGGACTAGCATTCATGCTATCAGCTTTTATCAGCCAATCATCTTCAGCAACGACTGTCGGCTTCTTTGTGTTTCTGGTTGGGTTTGTAACACAGGTGCCATTCTCATTCAAAACAAACAGCTGAAACTGTTTCTTCCAATTATGAATTGTTATACTAATCATAAATCTAACTGCAGCTTGCAACATCAACTGGGTTTCCGTATGCGAAGAAATATTCTCGCATGATCAGGGCACTTTGGTCTTTGTTCCCACCCAATACCTTTTCTCAGGGTCTAAAGCTTCTTGCTGATGCAACTTCAACTCCTCAAGATCCTGGAATCAGTTGGAGTGGTAGAGCAGAATGCGGACCCAACGACGATACTGATTGTGTGATTACTATTGTACGTGAACTCTCAAAACAAAATTCATCTAATAACTGTATCCAATTGTTCTCTGATCATTATTTATTTGGTTTTCGCAGAATGATATCTACTTGTGGCTTCTTGGGTCTTTCTTTTTGTGGTTTATTTTGGCTCTCTACTTCGACAATATTACTCCAAATGCGTCTGGTGTAAGAAAATCTATCTTTTACTTTCTTAAACCTGGTTACTGGACCGGTAAAGGTGGCAACCGAGTAGAAGGTACTTTCTCCTCAGTCTTGTTTCTGTAATCACTAATCATTAGTAGTTTTGGTGTCGATAATATATTCTAATTAACTGTTTTTTCTCTGAACAGAAGGGGGAATTTGTAGCTGTACTGGTTCAGTCCCACCTGTGGATCACATTACTCCAGATGATGAAGATGTCCTTGAAGAGGAAACTTTAGTTAAACAACATTCAATGGAGGGCTTAGTTGATACCAACGTTGCAGTTCAAATACGTGGTCTTGCAAAGACTTATCCTGGGACGACGAAATTTGGATGCTGCAAATGCAAGAAAACTTCGCCTTTTCATGCTCTGAAGGTATTTCCTTAAGAAAACAAAGTGAAAAACTGGGTTTCTTAAGTTTGGTCAATTGCAATTTAGCATGGTAGAGTCTGTTTTTTGCCAAAAGATTTCCAATAAATGATAATCTCACCATTGATCTATAGCTAGGACTTGGATGAAAGTCTCGAGAAATTTCTCCCTGTGATTTCTTCCATGCTACATGTTTCATTTATTGCTTACCTAATTTATGAAATATAATCAGGGGTTGTGGCTGAATATTGCCAAAGATCAGTTATTCTGTCTTCTTGGACCCAATGGCGCAGGGAAGACAACTACCATCAATTGTTTGACAGGCTTATTTCCAGTTACTGGTGGTGATGGTAAGTTGAAGCTTGCACTTTTTCCTTGTTTTTGCTTCGTAGAAGTTAGTGTCTTACCGTACTAAAATCTCTCTGATTGGCTTCAACAGCACTTATTTACGGAAATTCTATAAGAAGCTCTGTTGGCATGTCCAACATCCGCAAAATGATAGGAGTTTGTCCTCAGGTGGGGCACTTTTTTGTTGCTATCTGCCTCTGGCATTTGCCTTAGTAATAGCTATTTGTTATGCTGTATATGTTTTATGACATTCCCATCCTTCCCACAGTTTGATATTCTTTGGGATGCTTTGTCTGGTGAAGAACACCTCAAACTCTTTGCTAGCATCAAAGGGTTGCCACCTGCATCGATCAACCCGGTATGTATTACAAATGAGTCAGTTGGTTTCTGTAACACTTTCTGCTAGGAATATATGGTATGATACCACTGGTATCTAATTTCAACTTCAAATTAAGAATAGTTTTCCTTTTTTGCTTCTTAAAAGTTTTTTTCCCGTAATACAGATGGTTGAGAAGTCACTGGCAGAGGTAAAACTGACAGAGGCAGGGAAAATCAGGGCAGGAAGTTACAGTGGAGGAATGAAACGCCGACTCAGTGTTGCAGTTTCACTCATTGGTGATCCGAAACTGGTCTTCCTGGATGAACCGGTTTGTTTCTTTCCATATTCCCATATGGCTGTATGTAACATTTCTTATGTTGATGTTTATTTATCTAAGTATCGCTTCCTTTCCACATGGATTGCAGACTACAGGCATGGACCCGATCACAAGGAGACACGTATGGGATATCATACAGGAAACGAAGAAAGGTCGTGCCATTATACTAACGACGCATTCGATGGAGGAAGCAGATATTTTAAGTGATCGAATAGGGATAATGGCTAAGGGTAGGCTCCGGTGCATTGGAACCTCAATCCGGTTGAAGTCCCGCTTTGGCACAGGTTTCATTGCTAACATTAGCTTTGTCGAAAGTAACAACAAAGAAATCAATGGAAATAATCACAATGGCGAAACTGGTGCTTTAGAATCACATGAGCCAGTGAAGAAATTCTTTAAAGATGTAAGTCTGTTTCAGAAGTCTCCATTTTACAACGCCATTATCTTAAATTCTTATTCCAACAACCTCTGAGCTGTATTTTCTTGCAGCATCTCAAAGTCAAACCAATAGAAGAAAACAAGGCCTTCATGACTTTTGTTATACCACACGACAAAGAGAATCTTTTGACTGTAAGCATTTACACAACTTTACCATAGATAGATATTGTTACCTACCACAGAACTAAGTGTATGTGTTTACTTAATAACGAAACAGGGTTTTTTCGCTGAGCTGCAAGACAGAGAAGAAGAATTTGGAATCTCAGACATCCAACTTGGTCTAGCAACTCTCGAAGAAGTCTTTTTGAACATAGCACGAAAAGCTGAACTCGAAAGCGCTGCAGTTGATGGAACAATGGTCACTCTCGACCTAACATCTGGTTCCTCAGTCGAGGTAAATAAATACATCTCAGATGTTCATAGGGCCTTATAACGCCCAAGCTAATCAAGTATAATCCAATCTACAGATACCAGTTGGTGCAAGATTTATTGGGATACCGGGAACAGAAACTGCAGAGAATCCACAGGGAATCATGGTGGAAGTGTATTGGCAACAAGACGAGTCAGGATCATTGTGCATCTCAGGACACTCCACAGAGATGCCAGTTCCTGAAAATATTCCCGTGACAGTTCCAGCGGCACCAGGGCATAGCGGAGTAAACTTGTTGGGACGGAGAGGACAAAGACAAGTCCAGGGAATTGTGATCGATCCTGAGTATGCTAGCTTTACTAGAAGCGGCTCTACTTCTTCCCGACGTTTCTCATTGTGAAAATGACATCTAATGCGAGTGCACACACATACAGTTAACTTACTGGACTGGGCTCTAGCAGTAGCTCTACAGGTTTTTCTGGCTAGCTGTTGTATTTTTATACAAAAAAAATTACAGGCGTGTTTATTTAAAATTGTGTGTTTACGTAATTATGATGTAAATTTGACGGAAGTTTGTGATTAAGAAACAAAATATCTAACACTGCTATGTTCATTTCATAGTATGGTTAAAAGATCATCTGTGACTATTGTCCAGTTCCTCCATCCACTTCAGGTTCTATGTTTCAGCAGCATGGACTAGTCAGCGAGACGTGAAATTATTCTCTTTCACTTTACAGAAACATATTTACATATAACAACACTAAGTTGTGACACATCAAAATTCAGTGTAATCAACATTGAGCTAATAAACAGCTAGCTTATTCACGCTATGACTGTACATTAATCAGTCTTCGATCCTTCCCGTACCTGAAACATAATCGAAGTACCAACATTATGGAAGCTGTGTTTGAGAAACAAAAACGTTAAAAGGTTTGAATTCATGCGTCTACAATATACAATGTACCTTTTGTCCAACAGATTTGATTATTTGAATCAATAGTCGATCTCCGGTTATACTTCTAAGTCGTTGAATCAACTCAGACCGCGAGATTCTCCGGTCCTGTGAGTAAAAAAGGAACCAAAACAATGAAAAATGTTGTGTTGAGATTCATGACTCATGAGAATGAAAAACAGACAGCCAAGAAAATGGGACTTACTTGATGTTCTTTATAGTGTTTCTGAATGAGACGGATTTGAGACTGATTTAGAAACTTTGATATCGATTTTATCAAGTCTGGAAACAGAATCCAAGGCGATTTCGGGTTCTCTACATATAAAAAAAAAAAAAAAGCATACCAAATTAGCAACTGAACATATTCTTAATCAAAGAAGAGAAGAACAAAGAATTTGTGTGCTTACTTCTTTTCAAGATAGATGGAGTTTTGAAGCATACAACAAACTCAGGCAAAACGTGTGTATTCATGTGTGTGCTCCAAATAATATACTTCTTTGGAGTTGTTAAACTGTCTACACCCGAATCGAACTCTGGAGAACTCGGATACGATTGTGAGTTCGAGCCTACAACCTCTGATTTTCCCATAATGATTCTTGAAAACAACAAGAATCTAATCCCATCTTCTTCACAAGATGATGCAGCAGGATCTATCATACTATACATAACAAAAGAAAACATTAATGATTATAAACAGAGAATAAAAAATGTTTTTCAAGTGTTTTGTTGTTGTTACCATTGGAGAGGAGCGTTGTCTGATGAAAGACATAAGCCATTGATGTTCCTAAAGTGGCTGAACCCATACATAAGAATTGTTTTCAACTCTTCCTTCTCCACGCTGCAGCAACCGTACTTCACCTTTGCCGCTTCAGCTGCGGCAGCTTTGTTCCCACGGCACTCGCAGAATGAAGTGCCACTTTTCTTTGCCACAGATTCTGTGTATATCTGAAAGGCTTTAAGCTTAGCTTGTCCCAATGGAGTTCCAAAACCGTTCTTGAGAATAGATACAATCTGGAACTGATCATTGCCTAAGTGAGAAGTAAGCTTGGTTTGGCAATGACGATAGATTAGCTCGTAGGCTTTGTCGTCTTTAAGCAACTCCATTAGTCCGAGCTCGTTAGCTATCGAAGATTGTTGCTGATCACAGTCTGATAATAACTCTTCATTGCTTCTGCTTTCAGATGATTCTGTTGACCCTTCTTGTTCTTCGTAATGGTTTACAGGAGTTTCTTCGCTGCTTCTTGTATAGTCCATAGCTGAGAAGAGAAAAGAAAACACTAATTAAAATCAGACTCAAAATCAAGAACTCACTAAGAAAAAAACAGAAACCAAGAATTCAGAATTGAACCTTTTTGAGTATTTTATATGAAATGAAGATTGTATAGCTTGTTTCTGAGATCAGAGAGAGCTTGTGTTTGAATTTTATTAGTTGCAGAGTGAAATATCATATATATATGAATAGTTAAAAAAACATACAGTTGTGGAAAGAGTTCTTCTTATTCTGTGACTCTGTGTTCTTCTTCTTTGATTAAGTCTTCCTGTTTTGAGTTTGTTGTCTGTTTTCTATTAAAATAATTATATTTTCTAAACTAGGATGTTTTGTCTGTTTTACTTTTGCCTTGAAGATGAAGTATCCACATTCACACGATTTACGATTACACATTAATCCCACCTTTTTCTGTTTGTCACGACTTTACATTAATCCCACTCTTAATTAACAAAAAAATACGAACCTGTAATACATACATTAATCAGCAGAATTTTTGAATATTTGCCATAAATATATTAATGAACAGTATCTTGGAAATTTAAGCCTTTTTATTCACGCAAAATACTTCTAAATTTCTAATCTTTTGGGAAATAAAATTAGAATCATCGTAATTCGTATGGTTTGGTTGGTTTATGAATTTTGAAACCGCTTCGTATGACTAGTATCTAATGACGATGTTAGAACATTCCGAAATTAATATTGACTTGGCTTTTCTCACGTCATCAGCTAGGTCATTGTCATTATAACATGCAAATTATCATTAGTATATATATATGTTTAGCTCTTACTTATAAACATTTTTTTTACTGACCTTGATAAAAAAAAACTCTCTAATTCTTGATTTGCTGATTAATATATTGTAGTTAGTTAGTCGACCACTGTACCAGTTAACTTGCATCCAATCCATCAACGTAATAAGTTAAAGATCCCATTGATCAATTAGTAATATAAATAAGAAAAAACATTACTATAAGAAGCACAAACACAGTAGTTGGTTGGGTTTATATATTTATCTCTGCGTGCGGCGCTACCTGTTTTGGGAAAGTGCAACTAGTTTTACGTATAGAGACCGAAACTGCATTTGTAATGAGTGACACGAATTGAAACTTGCAATAACCAAATTACCCCTTGGTTACATAGATCAACGTAGACGACTCGAGGACATTGATGGTCTTTTTTTATATTTATTTTATTATTTGGTTACCAGAAATGGAAACCGTGGGAGTTACACGAGGGATCAGCAACTTATATTATTTCCCATTAATAAACATTTAGCCAAAAGTACCTAACGAATCACACTAAAGAGTGGATAGTAGATTAGTAGAGATGTTACTTATATGGAATTGCAAAGAACACAAACTTATTCAAAGAATTCTCGTTTGCTCAAGGAAAATAACTCAAAATCTTAAACTTCTTAATCTGGAAAAGTGACTGTTGTATTTTCTTCTCAGTGGTATTTTCTTCTCACAAATGAATGGTAGAAGTTTTGAGTTAGAGTTTTTATGTTACCACGGTGGAATTGTGTCTCTCCAAAAAAAATTCCTCCATATGAGTAGATATAAGCGGTATATACTATTCCGTAGGTCCAGGCCGGAGGTGAAATGAGCCGTTTTATGGTGGGACTCGTCACTATAAAAAATTTACCCTAACAGTTTTTGCTCGCACAGCCGTGGTCTAGTAGTAAGGGAGAATTGGAGAAATGTTGGAAGGAACTAACCCAGGTTCGATCTACCATAGAAACAAAAATCTAGGTTGTGTGAGAAGTATGTCAATTGGGCCAAGGTCCTGTTGGTTTACCTGTTAGTTAGAAATGCAGACGGCCTGATTATCCCCTTGTATTAGTCGGAAAGCATTCCAAACTCGGGATAGACAGTGTGGTGGCCCTTCGGAGAGAAGTCCACTCTGAAACACTTCAGTGTGTTTCTACCGGGGCTTGCCGGATCAGCCGATAGGGTTTATTAAAAAAAAAAACTTCTCAATCTCTTAAACTCGTAAGTTATACCATACATTGACATCTCATTGTATAGAGATTTTATAAACACAAAACCCTAATTAAATAGAAAATTATACTTTATTCAGATAACTCCTAAACTTCCTTTTTCCTAACGATTACTCGGTAAGATTAAATTTAGCTTAGGTCTCAAGCCTTCTTCAAACTTATTCCAACAACTCATTGACCCAAAAGATAAATATTATTTAGTGTGGCCAATGAATGAAAATAACCCATACTTATAAGTATAAGTATATAAAATGTTAGTTGATCTAACAAGTTATCGATTGAGAGACCTAACATGCAAGATATTAACATAGTTGCTTTACTCTGGTTGACAAACAACTATCTTATTAAAAAAAGGTTTACGTTTAACAAAGATATTTAACAAGTTTGGTACAATGCCAAGAATCTAACAAATTCTTAATTAAAGCCCAAATGTGTATCGAGCGTTTTAACAGATTGAAATGTCTTTCATTTGCAAGTAGCCCAATTGATATGGATGACTTTTTAGGCTTTTTCGTATGATCGTGAAACCTCATGAAGGAGGTTTTCAAACTTTCTAGTCATTAGGTTAGGCGGAAGTTCATATTAGACGTACCTAAATTATTAACATTTGTTGTAGCTCTCTAAATTTAATGGCTCTCAGGTGTATATATATAATAATATGGCTATCGTCAGATTATATGTAGATTTGAATCTCTAGCTAAAACGAATAATTTTGTATTAGTGTCGGGGTTAAATCTTGTTTTTTTGGATAGTGTACGTGGAAAGATCAACACTTTAGTTCTATTTTTTTATCTGTTCTATTCTTATTCTTCAGTTATATTTTTCTATATTTTGTTTTGCCGACTCTATTTTTGTTTCTTAACTTTATATATACCATAGGTCCATATCAAAACTAATTTTAGTTATAATATGGCTTCATATTCTTTGCTTTGGAAGCACGATTGCATGACCTATGGATATAGATTATATTTATATGAAGAATTCGACTGCCGACTAATACATAGTTTTTCTACTTGGTTTAAATATTTTTAAAATCAAAATTTTAACTTACGCAGTTAGTCTTGAAAGTAAAAATAAACGTACCTTAAAAGTCTTAAAATATCATCTTAATAAAATATGTATCAATTATAAAAATTTGTGGTTTACTTTTATTTGACAAGAAATAGACAACTAATTTTGTAAAGAATGATATATATATATATATATATATATATATATATATATATACATAGTAATTTTTATAAAGGATAATAGATCTATAAAAAAAACTAATAAATAACAATAAAATATATGATACTTTAAAGTAGACTTTATATAATTGATCAACTTTCTAGTTTATTTTAAATCTTAATTAGCTGTTTTTTTTTCCTTAACTCAAATATATATTTAAGCCATTAGACGTGAGCTTAAGTTACTTGTTAGCTATAGAATTAGTATATATTTTCTTTAGATATATACATTGACAAGAAGGAGAACGCCGACAAACTTGTGCTGCCTTAAAATAATGTGAACGTAAAATCCAAAGTTCCAAACCACTTGCTTCATTCAACAACTGACAAAACAAAACCCTAAATAAAATAAAATAAAAACAATACATAACAATGAACAAGCGCCAGAATGATCAAGATCTTTAAATACATTAAGAGGAATTAATAAAAACTGAGAATACATTTTAAAAAGGAAAAGAAATTTTAAAAATTTTAAAAATAAACCCTTAATGTATTGCACTAATTCTACTGCATAAGCAAACTTCGGATGAGTGCAGCTTGATCTGAATCAGTTGATTCCAAAAGTTGAGATAATCTTTCACTAAGATCATCAACTTCTTTGCTCAAGTTCCTTATGTAACTACATGTCTCTTGTAATACCCTCGATGCTGATACCTGAAAATGTGTTATCATATTGATAAGAAGAAGGATCTAATTAATAGACTTTACAAATATATATATATGCTATTTGTTTTCTATGTTGCTTTTGAAATAAAAACTCAGAACTCCTCACAAAGTATATCATAATTAAATTATGATTCAATATATATGAAAGATAGATTAGAAGTAACGACATTTTAGAATTAGTTAATTATATATGTATACGTGGGTTTTATCAAGTTGCTAATTCAAAAATTGAGTATATATTCGTTTTCTTTCTGATTCTTAATATAATTGGAACTCTTAAGTCTTTATCATTGTTATTTTATAGTTCTAACTGAAGGCTATACTATATAGTGTTAGTTTCTTGATGGAAGAAAAATAATCATAAAAGTAATGAAAAACAGAAACATTGAAATGGAGAATTTGATTAGATCAGTCTACGTAGTGTACCTTTCCAGAGCGTCTGTTGTTACCAAGTTCGGGGAGAAGACGATGAAGCTGAAGGACAAGATCGTTGATTTGTTCTTCGGAGATCATGGGAGTTCCGGTTTGTCTTGACCGTGATTTTCTGCTAGACATTATGCAAATATGATATGGTAAAGTATAGCTAGAGATGGATCGTAAGGTTTCTTAACTTGTGGGAGTGTTAAGGCTTTAGTATGTTAATTTTTTTAGTAAAAGAGTAGTGAGAGCAAGAGAAAGATGAAGGAAGAATATAGAAGTGGAGGGGACTGCAACTGCATAGAATAAACATGAATGGCCTCAACTTGTGTTTATATACAAGATTGTCCCATCCATTTTTTTGGCTCCATGGAATCATTTTAAATATTAAAATAATTAGTACAAGTTTCTTCTAACATGTTTCCTAAACATTAAATGGTAATTACCTTCAAGTGTAGTTAAATTAACTGATGGTAATTAGATTTAAAAACTATATTGTGATTCTCTAATGGGGCATTCTCTAAAATACCATCATTTTTGTTTTTAGGACAAAAATACCACAAAACTATAATTAGATTTTAAATTTTCAAAATCTAAATTCTTCTCTAATTTGGGTTTAGTATTCTCTTTCTCAACTTGAATATTTTGCCTTGCAAGAAGTTGTTCACGTGTAGTGTTTGTTTATTTTAGAGTTTACATAAAAGACTATTGTTGCCTCACCGTAAACAAAAACCTAATCAGATTGTATTTAGTTGTACAAGTTTTTCATGGTAAAATTAAAGTGGAGCTACCTTTTTTTTTGGGCTCATTATGTTTTATAATTTGTAGACCGAAATTTTTTTATCATTACTAAAATAAAACCATTAAATTTCAAAATTTGCATATATAGGAGTATTTGTATTCTAGTTTTCATATTTTCACTAGTGACCAAATTTCAGAACAAGAGTCATCCTGTGACAAATTTTTTTTTTTTGTATTTTATCTAATTAGTGATGCTTGATTATAGTTGCTAAATAATTCTTAACTCGTCCATTTATTGTCATATACTTATCGGCAAATTTGCATAATTTCTGGAATTAGTGATGATAAAAAAAAAATATTCCTTGGTGCAGTATTCTAACTCTCATACATATTTATTTTTTTCAAATTTGTGGCAAAAGAACTCTTGTACATGCATGTATAGTTGTTAACCAAATTCAGTTTGTCGGATTTAAACACTGATGGTGACATATCGATGATATATTATCATCAAACCATTAGACTACACATCATAAATTTCGAGAAATATTAAAAAAAAAGTATATAATTTATATCAACATACAGTAATTAGATGTCTACTTCACAATAATCTCGACTAATCCAAGACCTAATGGTTAATTTCTTTTATTACTGATGGATTAATTGAAATAAAAAAACTTGTATATAATTAATTAACTAATTAGATCCCGATTCTATAATAACCTATCAAATTTTATATGGTTACATATCTACTTGATCAAGTGCATATACTAATGTGAGCATGTACAAAAAAAAAACATATATTGAATCATTTTGGTTTTGGTTTTGGTTTTATTAGTGATCATGAGATTAAATAATTCAGTTACTGGTATTTTTCTATTTTGAGTGGTCCTTAGTTTGTTTTTGGGTCTTTCTTTCATTCTTATTATCTTAATATCATGTCCATCAATCAGTTGATTAATTGCAAATTTGGAATAATCAATCAAACGTTTTTTTTTTAATTCTAATTCAATTATATTTAAAATTTTCATAATCCATGGATCATGTTTCCTATAAATCAGTTTATTAGTAATACAAATTTAAATGTTTGTCTGAGGATATGTAATCAAATTAAATCATATAGTAATCCGTCTCTCTTCCTATTATAAAAAAGATATATAACACTCCATCACTATTCATTGAATCATTGTCGATAACTTTGTGTGTTTCGAAAATCTTTTGCTTATAAGCATATCATTAACCGATATAATATTTTAAATTGTTTGCGTAATATATATATATTAGTATTCAATAAATTTAGAAAATAAACAGACAACACCTCCTTTGACAGGTCAAAGCAAGCACATCTTACAACTTGTGGTATTATGATTATTATTTTTGTCTTTGCAAGTTGTGATGTTAAATATGGTAAAATGTGTACTTTCAACATTTTAATAAGTTAAATGTATTATTTTTAGTTTTTAATTAATCTTAACAATCCGAGGATGAAAAATAACTATTGTATACTAAGCAAAAAAATCCAAATAATGAATGCATTTTTTTTTGGTTAATAAACCAATATGTGGTACTATTGCATGGTCAGCTTGGATCTCGGGGCACATGATGTTCTCGGAATATACAGCGAAGAATCACGATGTACTCTGTTAATTTTGTTTTTCTTTATTTATTTTCCTGATTTCACACTTCTTTTTTTATTTAGTGTATTTCAAGAATCATAAATTATTATTCTTTAATGTACTATGTACACTCAAGTTCTAAAGTCTACTTCTCATTCTATTAATTCTTAATCTTGTTGCTTTTTTTTTTTCATTCCAAGTAATAAAATGTGATTAAAAGACAACTCTAAGTTTCTTTTACAAATTTTTATCAAGTTTAGATGTCTTTTATTTTATTTTTTTCAGAATCATACAATTATTTTTGTGTTCAATTTTTCGAAACAACTAGTTTAGTACTTAGACAATATATAAAATTTCGAAAGCAAGAAAAAAATTACATATGAAGATCAGTTTATTTTTACCACTCTGAACTTTTCATCTAAAATCAGTCGATCGAAATGGGGAAAACTATTGTATATGATATCTAAATGAACACGAAAGTAACATATAAAAATATTCTGCAAGTCTTGAGAAACCCAAGTTGAGGGAGTCTTTGAAATATATTTTGATATAACTTTATATTAGATTTTAGTACAACAGAGAATTCCAAGAAAGATTACGGAGATCTCTTTGCCATATGGTTTCTGTCTGAATTATTCGCTTTCTATGCTATTAGTATATGATTCGAACGATAATATTTATCGTAATAAGATATTCATACGTATAGAAAAATGTTCTAGACCCAATACTACACACTTTCATAGAAAACACGAGATTCATTATTTGTTTAAGCATATCAATACACAGGTACGCGTGTAAGACACACTCATGCATGCAAATACTAACTAATATCCTAAGCTAGTAAAGCTTACCATGATCATGTACTTCACAAATTACAAATATAGAGACTTACTTAAGAAGAAGTGTATAAGACCGAGAAAAGAGAGTTTAAGAAGTGTAACATTTGTACATTGATCTGCAATTTCTTGATTACCAAAGAGAAACAAATACTGTTTGGCACCAAACACTTTACCTAGAAAATATTAAAGTAAGTGAAAAAATTATGTGGTTAGTCATGATAATTGTACGGGCACTCTTTGCAAATTAGCTGGAGAATCTTTATAAAGTTTCCCATATATAGACTACATAAAATTTTCCCTTTTGAGTCTTAGTGTAGAATATTCTCCTTAGAAAACATAATAAATATATAAGACCATCCTCATTAGGGATATCTTAGGAGGTTAAGATACCCCGAATGAAGATGCCCTAAGTTCTCTGTTTTTGCAAAGATACTCTTTTGTCTTGTTGGATACTTAACGCAAAACCTCATCTAAGACCTAGACAAAGCGTATGGGCCGGGAAGATTCATTTGATACCATAGACAACGTCATAAATATCGACAAAACACACATACACACACATATTTGTTTAGCGTGAGGCAGGACAACCAACGATATCACATTCACCCTCAAGATGAGTCGATCTGTCTCTCATCATTCTCTTCTGTTTTGCGTACGTATTCGATTGATCAGAGAAGACATATTATATAATTTCTCAAAACGGTTCATTCTTTCATCATGTATATGACTATGAATCTATATGCTCTCCTTTGCTAGAAGTAGTACGTACGAAGGTTTTAATCATATAGAAAAATCAAGAAGACATACTATATTACTATCCCTAGTCTCGTATGACCAGATTCTCTTATGTACCTATGTACATACACTAATTAGTTTTAGCTAGGACTTACGAGGAGACCTTTTAAAGCATATTTTTTGGCGTGTGCTACTGCTCCATGATGTGGACGTGATGAACCAGTTTGACAAAATCAATATGAAGTATGAAAGTGCGAGCCTCGTTTTACAAAAGAGCACTTTTAACGTTTAGTTGTATGATATGAAATGGTTGGATTGATCCGGTCAATCTCTGCTAATACCCAATGAATCAGTTTTATTTGAAACCACTGTCCTGTCTTGTCCCTTGATGGGCTAAAATAAGGCCCATTATCCGTGTTACCAAAAACTCGTCAACACTCCGAGTCAATGACTCAGTATTCTCTTCTAACGAATTCTCTCAACATTCTGATGAAATTGAGCCAACGACGAACCGCGAATGGACGCGATCAAACCACTTCCTCAGGTCTCGAGCTTCTCCGCTTCGGTCTTTAGCTTCCTCGATGATAGATTCAGAGACGCCGGAGATCTCTCTCAGTCTCCGGGTCTGGTTTCCGAGTTACGGACTGAGATTTCCGAATTGGATCAGAGATTGGCCGGATTAAATCGCCAGCTCGAGTCTGGTCTCGCTTCTTACGCTTCGTTTTCGGATCGTGTCGGTGGTCTATTTGTCGAGGTTAATGCCAAATTGGCTGATCTCTCTTCTTCTTCTTCTTCTACCTGCGTTCCCCGCCCCGCGTCAGGTTCGTATGATTCTATCACGATTTATCTGGAGAAACAGCGAAAATGCAGATTAAGATCGTGAAATGAATTGTTGTAGTTGAAGATGAAAATTTTGATCTCTGGGTGGTGGTTGATGTTTTTTTGCAATGCTGGCAAACTTGTGAAATTTGTTAATTGCATTTTGAGAATTGTGGTCTGTTTTATTCATTTAGATAGCGGAGAGAAGGAGGAGGAGGAGGAGACGACGGAGCATGTAGCTGGGGAAGAGCTTCCTTCATTAGCAAAGGAAGTAGCACAAGTTGAGTCTGTTCGGGCTTATGCTGGTACGTTGGCTTTTCATTTGGTGTTTTAGCATCGACAGATAATTTCTGATTAAGAACAATAGCCTAATAGTGATTTAGTGTTTTCGATGGATTGATCAAGACTAGTTTTTAGTTACTTTCAACATTTTAAGATGTTTTGCAATGTTTCAGAGACTGCTCTGAAGCTTGACACTCTTGTGGGTGATATCGAAGATGCTGTGATGTCTTCTTTGAATAAAAACTTGAGAACATCTCGGTCAAGCGGGTTTGAAGTGAGCACACTGTTTTTAGATTGAGTATTATGTATCAGACTTTAGACCAAGTATGTGTGGATCAATTTTCTAAAAATTTTATTGGTTTCAGGAAGTGCGTCTACATGCTATCAAGACACTTAAAACTACAGAAGAGATACTGAGTTCAGTGGCGAGGAGACATCCTCGGTGGGCACGTCTTGTTTCTGCTGTTGATCACCGAGTAGATAGAGCTTTAGCCATGATGAGACCGCAAGCAATCTCTGATTACAGAGCGTTGCTTTCGTCTCTTGGATGGCCACCTCAGCTTTCTACACTAACTTCAGCGAGTCTTGATTCAAAGTCAGAAGATGTCCAAAATCCTCTTTTCACCATGGCAGGGAGCCTCAAAAGTCAATACTGTGGAAATTTTCATGCCCTGTGCAGCCTGCAGGGGTTGCAGTTGCAAAGAAAGTCGCGGCAGCTTGGGAGCCATAAGGGGGAAAATGTTCTTTTCCACCAGCCACTCTGGGCTGTTGAAGAGCTGGTCAACCCTCTGACAGTTGCATCTCAGCGACATTTTACAAAGTGGAGTGAAAAGCCTGAGTTCATTTTTGGCCTTGTCTATAAAATCACAAAGGACTATGTCGATTCTATGGATGAATTGTTACAACCGCTCGTTGATGAAGCAAAATTAGCTGGGTACAGTTGCCGAGAAGAGTGGGTTTCGGCTATGGTAAGTTCACTTTCTTTGTACTTGGTGAAGGAGGTTTTCCCTATATATGTTGGTCAGCTAAACGAAGCAAATGAAAGTGATCTTCGTTCTGAGGCCAAGGTTTCGTGGCTCCATCTCATTGACCTGATGATCTCTTTTGATAAGCGAGTTCAGTCTCTGGTATCACAATCAGGAATACTTTCGCTTCAAGAAGATGGAAATCTTTTGAGAATTTCGTCTCTCTCAGTTTTCTGTGACAGACCTGATTGGCTGGATTTATGGGCAGAGATAGAGCTAGATGAGAGGCTCGTCAAATTCAAGGCAGAGATTGATTACGACAGAAATTGGACTGTGAAGGTCCAAGACGAAATCACATCCACTTCCGACGTTTACAGACCGCCAATTATATCCAGCATCTTTCTGCAGCACTTGTCATCCATAATTGAACGATCCAAATCTGTGCCGGCGATTTACTTGAGGGCAAGGTTCCTGAGACTGGCAGCGTCACCAATAATTCAGAAGTTCTTGGATTGTGTCCTTCTCAGATGCCAAGAAGCCGAAGGACTAACTGCATTAACTGAAAATAATGATCTAATTAAGGTCTCAGACTCTATCAATGCTGGTCACTACATTGAATCTGTCCTAGAAGAATGGAATGAGGATGTCTTTTTCATTGAAATGGGAACTGGACAGCATGATCCACAGGAAAATTTAGGACTGGAGAACTTTACAGAACCATCTGAAGGTATTTTTGGACACGAATTTGAGAAGTTGGAGAAGTTCCGATTAGAGTGGATAAACAAGTTGTCTGTGGTGGTCTTGAGGGGTTTTGATGCACGAACTCGAGACTACATTAAAAACAGAAAGCAATGGCAGGAGAAGAAAGACAAAGAATGGACGGTGTCTAGGACACTAGTTGGGGCACTGGACTACTTGCAAGGAAAAATGTCGATAATAGAAGAACATCTAAACAAAGCAGACTTTACAGCTATGTGGAGGAGTCTAGCCTCAGAGATAGACAGGTTGTTCTTTAACAGTATCTTGATGGCGAATGTGAAGTTTTCCAATGATGGAGTCGAAAGGTTTAAAGACGACATGGAGGTTCTGTATGGGGTTTTCAGGGCATGGTGCGTTAGACCTGAAGGTTTCTTTCCTAGATTAAGCGAGGGGCTTACGCTTCTGAAGATGGAAGAGAAGCAAGTAAAGGACGGTCTGAGTAGAGGCGCTAAGTGGTTACGCGAGAACAGAGTTCGGTATTTAAGTGAAACGGAAGCAAAGAAGGTAGCTAAGAGTAGAGTGTTCTCTTAGTTAGAACTCTTTCAGCAGATCAACATCTTACTGATGTCCTCGGAGAGTCAGACTAGAAAGGTACATTCATATGTTTTGCATAGACGCCCACAAATACGGATAGGTGGGATCATTTAATTTATTTGTGGATTAAATTATAACACTCAGCTTTGGATTTGTACTAACCAGCCCTGGTTCTGTTTCGTCTCGGTTTGAAGTTCTTTACTTACCTTAATGACTGATAATTCAAAAAGAACAAAAGAAAAGGAAGCTCCACACTTGTAAGCTTCGCACTTTGGGTCAATGTAATTGTTTTATAACAAGAAAAAGCCTCTTGAATAGTAACACCAACTCTCAATGTACTCAAACTAAGCTTTCTAATAATAGAAGCTCATTCATCTTCACGTTTCAGTAGGTTATCTTTTAAGTCTTTTAACAAAGGAAACTTTGAAGAGAAGGCTATGGCCAGCCACTGTTCGTCACTCTGGAAAAATTTGATCCAGAAATTTCTTCTACTTAGGATTGTTAATAGTCAGAGCTTAGGCTTGAGTATTTGCTTCTTCCTCTTCTTCTTCTTCTTCTTCTTCTCCTACTTTTTCTTCTTGTTCTCCATTTCCTTCAACTTCAGCTTCAACTCCTAGGGATTGGTTCAAGTACTCTTGAGCGTCTTCTAGTACAGATTCAGTTGCATCGGTTGCATACAGTATCTTCTTCACTGCTACCACTATCTGTATTCCAAGGAAGCATAAATCAGGGTTAAACACAATAATCTTCACAAATGTTAGGTACATATTATGGGAAGCATTAAACATGCTCGCTGATGAATCAGGTTTTGCAATGAGAAAGTCATTGTTAAGAGCTCTTTACTTCCCTCTTGAATCTAAAAAGAGAAGATAAATACTATGCAAGATAGAAGGAACAGGCTTGACAGAAACGTTTACCGGAAGATCATCTAGTTCAGGAGTTTGGCAGAGTATCTCTACATCCCGGAGCTTTGAAAAGTAAAAGTCTCTTTCTTTTTCCAAGAGATCAGTAGAGATTTTGAGATCGGCAAGCTGTATTGTAGAAGATGAAAAAAGGTTATATATGACATATGGTGGACGTTTCATCCATCAGAGGATATGCGCAAAGTAAGTAGAAAGCTTATACTAAGAGCAATTGAATCTATGTCCGTGTACCTCCTTTGACAAAGCCTGCACTTCAGCTGCTTTTGCTGGCTTGGGACCTGAAAATTATGATCCCAAACGATGTTTAGAATGATACATTATTGTTTAGGTAGAATACCTGCTCTTTAAATGGCAGACCTGAGGCTTTGGTAAGACCAACTGAACTGGAATTAGATGGAGGATGATTATTGTTAGTTTGCAGTGACTTTGGAATCTTGTTAGAACCCTTCACACTCCTCTCTTTACCACCTCTTGATCTTCGTTCCACTGGATTATAGTTCCTGTAAGAGACCATCGGTTTTAGAAGCTTAACTGTGTGGGAAACAATGAAAGGGTAACAAATCCAAAAGAAAATCTGACAGATGAAACCCCATACTCATTCATAATGCCACCATTAATGGAATCACAGAAACGCTTCAGCCATTGCAGAAACTCCAAGTTATCCAATGGTCGGCCTTTGACAAGCCTGTTAATTTCCAATGGCTGAGGTATTCTCTCAGTAAGACAAACAAGGTGAGTAACAATACACACACACAGGTACTCCAGAAGAAGCAAGAGATGATGATTGATATACCTTTGTAATTTTCAGCTTGTTGAACACATCTTGCAGGACCTTGTAGTTTTGTATCATGTCATACTCATTCTTTGCATCAAAGTTAACCTTGCAGAGGGAGAATGTATCAAGCCACCAAGAAGCAAACTAACCGTAAGAATTATAAAACATAAAAAAGAGTTTTAGAAAAATCCACCTTGTGCATTGGCACAACTCCTGGAAAGGTCATATCAAGCATCTGACATTGCACAGCACCAGATGCAGCCTAACAAAACCCAGAAAATTCTTTGAACAGTGAGTGACACGAACTTTTCATCCAAGAACAGTTAGTTCAAATACAAAACTAGTAGAACTCTTTTAGATCCCTCACAGCAACAACAGTGAATCCATACATATGGCATTGATGGCATTGCAACATTTTAAAACTCCAAAGCCTAAAAAGCCCTTTTGTCTACTCATATACGACTCAGAACACTAACTTATCCCCAAAACTCATCCGAAGCACTTAATTCTCATCGAAATTTTATAATCCAATTGAGACAACTTCAAATCCAAATCTGCATTTTCTTGTACAAGTTCCAGAAAACCCAATTCCCAAATTATCCAGCGAATGAACCAAATCAACACTACACTCAACTCTATATAGAAGAACCATTAGAGAAACCCTCACATGCAGATACAGAATCCATATACTATACCTCTTCGACGCGAGAGAGATTGAGCTGAAGACGATCATTAATCCAAGTGAGAATCTCGTTTCGTCCGACGAAGTAAGCACTATCCATCATTCCAATGTTCGTCGCCATTTGAGTGAAAAAAAAAAAAGTGAAAACCCTCTCTTTTCTTGGAAACGACGGCGATAGAAGGATCGGAGAAGAATTCTGAGGTTATTGTAATTTTGATTGGATCTGTTTTTGCTTTTGAAAGGTTTTGAGTAGAGAAAGAGAGAGAGAGAGAGAGAGAGAGAGAGAGAGAGAGAACGGAAAAGTGAAAAAGCAGAGAGAGAGAGAGAGGAAACGGCTGGCAGCGGCAACTGTAAAGATGGCAAAATTTTTAATTTTTGTTTATTTGTAAATTAATAATTTTGAGGTTTCGTGTGGTTGTGAATTATGATTTTGTTAACCGAGTAGTCCTTTTTTCTTGAAATAATAACATTTATACCATGAGAAAGAAACAATTCTGATTTATGAAGAAAGTATTTTTCTTTTAAGAAAAAAATACACATACTGTATATGATAAAATATTATACTCATAATTTTAGGGATTCTAATTCAAAATTTCCAGACAGCTATTATTTATCACCAAAATTAATTTAAAGTTCTCGGTTAAAAAAACAAAAAAAGTTCTCGATTAATATGATAAACATAAGATTAATAACTTTTGTATATAAAAAACCGGATATGAGTAGATGTATATATATATATATATATATATTTTGTCGTCATGCCTTAAAATGTCGTTATGATTTTTATAAAAATATAATACAGTTTGGGATAGATTTTAACAAAATAGCAGTAAAAATTTTGTTGAAAACAACATGAAGTTTGCTTTATTTAAAGGACATGAAAATTTCGAGAACTCTAAATCCAAAATAAATTAAAAATTGTCAAATAGTGAAATTTATGTGGATGAGGTAGTGAAAACACAAATTCTGATATTATTGATAAATCACGGAGATTTTGAACTATAATCCTATTGATTCTACTAGGTTGTTCGTTGGCAGTAACAAGTATATCTTATGAATTCCATGTAAACCATTTAAAAAAATAAGTGATGGATGCTCTTACGAACATATCAACGTCGTAGTTATCACGTAACTTAAACCCTTCTACATCCCATGTGACTAATCCGTCACAGTGTCAAAATTATAAAAAAAAAAACCCTCATGTCAGATAGCGGAATTTTATGTTTTTTCAAACTGGTAAATTTTAAGTGAGAAAAAACAAAATTAGAGTGGTAAGCGATATATCAAGAATTTGATAGTGTAAGGGTAGGAGAAAATAAAATCCATAAGCATTTAGATTGTTGTAATTAACACTCAAATTCTTTTAAATTTTTTAAAGTGCAATATTCGAAGAAAACAAATTCATAAGCATTTATTTTGTTGTAACTAACAGTCAAATTCTTTCGAATTTTTTAAAAGTGTAAGATTCGAAGAAAACAAATCCATAAGCATTTAGTTTGTTGTAATGACAGTAAAATTTCTTCAAATTTTATAAAACAATATGATAAGTTGAATTCATTAGGCTATAATTGTATTTGTAGTATGTTTAAGTTCCTTTGTACTTGACTAATGACAAATGACATAGCATTGTAATTTTTTATCATTGATTCATCATTTTCAAAAGCATTGTCACTGCTACTTTTTGTAATTCCGAAAATTGATTTTGGTTTTATAGTTTTAGTTAAGTTGGCTACTTCAACATTGATTTTTGTATGCCTTGTTGCGCTTGTTATGTACGATGACATATTTATTTAGATTACACGTTTGTGGATATTAGAAAAATGATTTTTAAAATTTATTAACTGAGAAACAGTAATTATATCCCGCAGAAATTTGATCAAGGTGGATAAAATCCCTTTTATTATTAGTATTTTACTCAAATAAATAACTTCGATATTGAGATATTGGTATTACTTCATTATTGCAAATTTATTGAGAAATTTAAAGTGTGTATTAATTAAAATAAGAAATAATTAGCACAAAAAATATAGGAGATGGGATCGAGCCTAATGCAAACATTTAGTTCTATTCAGTTTCTTTATTTTATCATAAAAATACATCAACTGATATTATCTTCTAAGAGCATCAGCAAAGGCATAAGCAAAAGGATACATCTTAGAGTAATTTTAGTATATTAATAATGTAATAGTGTATTTTAAGAACCAAGCAAAATTAAGTAGTTATTGGTTGAACCCGTAGGTTCTTACATTTATAATAATATAATAATAATATATTTATTAATTAATTTGAAAATTTAAAAAATGAAAAATTATATAAATTTATAAATTAGAACAATAAAGATAGAAACATATAATTATAAACAAAACATACAAACTTTATAAAGATTTATCAAAAATTCTTGATTGTTGTATGGCTTTGATCTACAAGACTACAAGGGCGATTATGATTTTGTAACAACATCCGGTTACATGTGGCTATTATAATACAATGAAATTCTCATTTATGCCTATTGAGGACTGAGCATAAATTGCATTTTCCGGATCAACAAAGGCTAGTCATCACTCACCCGAACTGAACAACATCTAATCCAGAAACACCAAGACCTCGAGAAACCGCCTCCTACAAAATAAACAATGGAATTGCCAGTGGACAAATTACTTATTCCATTGCATAAAGAGACAGCTTTTGCAGAACTGAAAAAACGTCTTGGGCAAAAAATGGTGGATAAAAAGAAATGTAGAGGAATCACTTAGAGGTAAAAGATTAAAGTCTACCCTATTGCCACATAGAAAATGTCCAATAAATCAAGGAATTAGATTCATACCAACAAGCTTTGTGCAGATATGTGTGAGTCATGGCAAGAACACTTGTTCTATGTAGTAAATCTAAATAAGAAAACACCATCTGGAAAAGAAAATTATAGAGTACTGATGCTGTATAGAACCAAAGAAAGTTTCAGTCCACTAAAGACTGCTCTTGTTTAACACATAGTTCCTGCATTAGAACTAAACACCATATGCCATACAATTGCAACATCTATGACATCCCAAATCCATGGAATAAGAACATTTATGATTCTTCATATACTAGTCATGAATTGTTTGGTTACAATCAAGAACATATGAACAAACCCCAATTCTCAAAACTATCCAAAATCGTTCCTAAGTAACACAAATGATCAAAGACCCTTAATTCTTTTCTTCTTCTATCCAACCAATTCATATCTACAATCAATTCCAGAAATTAAGCTTTTGTATTGTGAGAACGAACCAGAACAGATTTATGAGCAGGAATAGGAGGAGCTCCGGCGAAGTCCTCAGAAGCTATGAGAACAACATCAGTGAAGGATCTCGAGCTTGAGCTGCTTCCACCATGATCGAGAGAAGAAGATAAACGGAGGAAAGCGACTTTAGCTTTGAGGTCATCGATCTCGCGTTTGAGTTCTTCCTCAGTTTCGCCGGCTTCAACGTAACACTCCTTGCAAGTTCCAGCGTCGCGAGGGAGATACTCTTCTCGACAAGAGATGCATCGCATCGCCGTATCGGAATCGGAATGGGATTCGAGGTTAGAGTGAAAGAGCGGCACAGAATCTGAGATCTCTATAATTCCGTCGTCCTTAGGGCTAATTCGACCGACGATGACTCCGTTGACCGCCGTCGTCTTGTGTCGCAACGAGAAGAAGATGATATCGCCGTCGTTTTCGCGATCTAGGGACATAGAAAGAGTCGATTTTGGATTTTTGTTTTTTCAACACAATACGAAATTGTTTTCTTTACCCAAAAAATCACCCAATGCCAAAGTGGCACGTGGCATAAGACTCGGGTCGAAAAAGCTCTTGCCCAGCATCCGGATGCCTCTTCAATTTGCACTGTTTGGAGTTTAAGGCCTTAAAATATTGGCCCAGCATCTGATCGGGTATGCCGATAATGTTGCTCTAACGAGTTTGCACTAAAGCTTTATACAATGTATATTTTTTTTTTTTTGTTAGCTTTATACAATGTTTTTGGTTACCAATATGTTATTTGAAAAATTTGGACAATTTGTCTAGATATAATTTATCAACTCACTCTATGTGTTATAATAAAATCATCTTGTTTACTCTTGAACGGTATCATACCTAAATGTTTGTATGCAGTGAATCCACTTTCATATCTCAGATTTCACCTCATTTATGAACAGAGTCATCTCTACGTTTAATATAACTACTAGCGAGTGGAAAAAAGTGAGTACACATATTCATAATAAAATAAATTTTGATCAAACTATAAAATAAAATTGGATATTTTTTTATAAAAGCACTAAAAATTTTAAAACATCACAGATCAATACCTTTTTAAATTCTAAAAGATTTATGGATTGACAATGTATCGGGTGAAAATAAATAACGACCAATATTGAGATCAGATCTACAAATCATTCTTCATCCACGGATTATGCTTTATTCGTCAAGTTACCTATCTGTTGTCTCACAATTTTTGGTTACCGACAAAATCAAACCAATACACAAAGCATATAAATACGACTTTTAGATTACAATGTGATCTAAAACAATGATTTAAACCATAGTAAATAAAACATTCCAAAAACACTACCTGAAATATATATATTTTTCAATAGTTAGCACTTAGCACACCAAAACATTTGTTTTAAAATTTGGTTATTTGAAGTTGAATTTTTTTCATACAGAATAGAGAAGACGTGGAAGTCAGAGATACGTTGTGGACTTTTATGCCTACAAAACTTCAGTTTTTCAACTTCTTCTCGTTTGACTTTGTTCTCTCTCAAAATCACAGATTCATTCATTCCGATCAAAACAACCCTTCAATGGAGTCGATCAACACTTTGAAAGGCTACGGAAAAGTATCAGATCAAGAAAACCAAATTCACCATCCTTCTCCTCCACTTCCCAAACCATCATCATCATTTTCCCGTAAAACCCTAATCGCCACCGTCTCCGTCGTATCTCTCCTCTTAATCCTCGTCGTCGTCGCTTTAACCGCCGGAGCTTTCACTCACTCACCTCCACACCACCCTCCCATCTCCTCCGCCTCTCTCAAGACAGTCTGCGCCGTGACGCGTTACCCCGAGACTTGTTTCAGTTCTCTATCTTCTTCTCTAAATGAATCGGATTCGAAACTGAACCCTGAATCAATCCTCGAGCTTTCTCTTCGAGTCGCTTCTAAAGAGGTCTCGAGACTCTCTATGTCTTTCCGATCGATCAACGATATGCCTGAGGACGCGGCGGTTGGTGATTGCGTGAAGCTTTACACCGACGCTCTGAGTCAACTCAACGAGTCGATGTCTGAGATCGAGAGAGAGAAGGAGAAGAAGAAGGGAGGGAACTGGTTGACGGAAGAAGTCGTCGGAGATGTTAAGACTTGGATCAGCGCCGCCATGACTGACGGTGAGACTTGTTCCGACGGGATTGATGAAATGGGAACGGTGGTGGGGAATGAGATCAAGAAGGAGATGGAGATGGCTAATCAGATGATGAGTATAAGCTTGGCCATTGTTAGCCAAATGAAGAAGCTTTTGGTGATACTTCACTAAACCAATCACAAAGGTTGGAACTTTTATTCTTTTTTTTTCTCTCTGTTTATCAATTTCGAGTTCATAAGTGTATTTGTGAGCTCTCTGTTCTTGGCTTCTTGCTCTGCTCTGCTCTGTAAGTAATTACTACGTTTGTTTGGTTTTGGTATATGTAATCTGATAAAGAAAATGTATTTTTACATTCAACCCCAGAATTCTCAATCTATTCACTTACTTTGATCAAATGAGAGGTTGTTCTCTATAGTTAAAAAGGTGTAAATCAAAACGAGCTTCGGCGTCTCTTTGTGTTGTCTACTTCTTTCTTGGTTCCGTTCATCAACTGGAATAAGAAAATTTGATTGAAGTTTCATTTACCAAAGTAGAGAATCATATATCAAAGTAGGACTAGCAAATGATTGAATGTACCTGCAAAGTTAGGGACCTAACTATCTCTTCTGAAGATTTGATCTTCTCTGCATCATCACGCGCCATTAACACCGCTACTTCGAGTTTCTTTGAAGTCATTCCCAGTTCGGCTTCTAGTTGTATTGATTTTAGGGTAAGCTCTTCCACCTGAGTAGTAGTAATAGTGTTTAATGTACTTGTTTTCATCCACAATCAACGGACAAATTCTTTGTCCTACATTTGATTCAATGCAGTTTCAATGGTTGGACTAACCTGTGCTTTGAGTACTGATATTTCATGGCTCATGCACTGATTGGATTTCTTTGGCCCTTCTTGCAGTAACTCATGATCTGTAATGTCATTGGTGAAGTCGGAAGTAGTAGCAACAGATTCGACCGGACTGGATTTTATCGACAAGGGAAACAGCTCAACAGAACCTCTTCGCGAAAACGGGATACCAGAAGTCACTGAGTGTCTTATAAGAGAAGATGTGTCTGATTTTGAAGCGCAATGCTTGGAACGTTGTTTGCCTTCTTGATTAACTGAATCAAAAGAGGTTAGCCTGGAGAGTTGTCGTATGCCTTTCATGTTAAAATTACCTTTCATATCCATATTCGAGTGATATGACGTTGTGCAGCTTGCTCCCGAAGTTTCACCGATGGTTTTCAGGTCCGGCATCTTAGTTTGTCTGAAGAAATCAAACGAATCCACCCTAAGAAGCTGACGCTGCGATGTTATGCCAAATTCGTCCATATCGTTAATGCTAGATGGTAGACTTGCATTTGAAAATCTGGCACTATTCGCTGGGGTTCCTAAAGATTCTCTAACTCCTTCGAGTTTGATATAGCAGTCATCACAAACACGGTACGGCCTGTTCGTCTTGGGAGCCATGGCTGCTGCTAAGGATTTCTTACTAGTGCATGAATTACAGAAGACACTCCCACAGTTATAACAGTTGTGGAGCTTCCTCATGTAATTAAAAGGATGGTGACAACCAGAGCACCTAGAGCTATCAGTACCTGTAATTGGTTTGTGAAGACAGATGGTTGCTGTGTAATTAGAACCACACGCCACTTTCCTCACTTGTTTACCTTTCAAAGCTTTCACAAGAGTCGGCATGCGTCTATAATCGGTGTCTCCGTGCCCAAGCTGTCCGTTTGATCCTTTCCCCCAAGTGTAGACCTCAGCTTTTGCGTTCAAAACCGCTATATGGTGAAACCCGCAAGCCACTTCTTGGACAAAACTCTTTCCAAGACCCCCTTCAATGCAAGAAGGAGCTCTCACAACACTATCTTGACTCGGATCAGCAATTCCCATTGCGTAAACTTGTCCAGACACAGAGAGAGCAACAGTAATGCTCTGACCACAAGCTACCTGTTGAAAGCTAGTTGTATCCAGTTCAGTTACACAGGATGGGAGTAACCTAGACTCAATATCACCATGTCCGAGTCTCCCATCCTCTCCATCACCCCAAGTAAAGAGCTTTCCTGATGATGTCGCCTCACCGAAAACACTGACAACAGCAGCTGAATGCCAAACACCACAAGCTGTTCTTATTGTTCTGCAGCCACTTAGCGCATCAACTTCTCTAGGTATATTTGTGCTTATACGATCACCATGCCCAAGCGCACCAAAGGTACCATCACCAAATGTAAACAGCTTACCTTCTGACGTCACAAAAGCTGTATGCCAAGGTCCGCAAGATATAGCTTTTACATTTATACCCTCCATCTGACCGAGAATTCGTACTGGTTTCCAATGGCTAGCTTCACTACCAAGTCCAAGGAGACCGACATTATGTACTCCATCGCCCCAAGCATATAAATCCCCTGAAGCTGTTACAGCACAAGTATGAAATTCTCCACAGTCAGCTAATTCCACAGTTGCTCCATCAAATTCATCAATAAGTTTTGGCTGTGGAACGTAGGAACAAGCTCCATGTCCTAACCTTCCACCAGATTCTTCTCCCCAGCTGTACATCTGTCCCTGCTTTGTGACTAACACTGCATAATTGGTGCCGCAAGAAATACTTTGGGCATCAAGTGCCACATGTGATTTCAGGACTTTGGGCAAAAAAGATTCAGCCATTAGAGAAGAGCTGCTTCCGCTTTTGTGCATACCACCTCCTAATAGCCCCTCTTCAATACTTTCTCCCCAAACGAAGACATCACAGAGAGACTTCAAGTCGTCAAAAGAAGATCCTTGACTAGATGAGCTCACTGCGCTGGAAATGCTATATTTACATGTATCAACGGCAGGGGAGTGATTAGTAGATCGATTCTCTATTTCCTCTGGAGGCGGAGTATGAGTTTTATGGACCAGTTCGTCCAAAGAGAGTGCCTTTAGTACTGCAGTTTGTGACAAAACTTCTGAGAAAACTTTCCCCAATCTCTGTGGAGTGTTGCAGTGAGATCCTGAGGCCTTTTTCGCATGTTCCTGCAAAAGTGCCAGATGAGGCAGGAAGATATTAAGTAGGAAACGACCCGATGATGCTCTCGTGAAGAGAGAAAACAACCAACAAAACCTCGTAGCTTGTGTCACTGCTGACGGATCTAATGTTGGACTTAGAGTTCTTGCTCGAACTACTTTGTTCACCATTTTCAGGAGCAAGACTACGGCTTCTTGAGTGCAGTACCAATGCGGAAGAGTTGTTTCGTGAGAGAAGAGCGCGAAGGGTAGTGAGCCAGAACTCAGCTTCATCCTTGTCCTTACATACCTATCCATGACGATTCAGTAGTAAGAACCTCAACTAATATTTATTATGGTCTTCAGAAGAGATCTAATACATATCATCAGGAAACAACAGCAAAAAAGACCACATGGAGCAAAATACGAACCAAATCCAGAGACCGGTCGCCATATATAAGAGAGAAGGACTGATATTCCTTGGTGGGTTGAGGATATCGTCGGAAAACTGCCTGGAAAAGTTCTTACAAGAACAATCGTTTGTTGAGAAAATCTGCAGCAAAAACTGTTACCAGATAATTGATATATACATTTGAACTTACAGTTCGCTGTCCAGGTATGATCCTTGTCACAGAACTCAGTTTAAGACGTTTCTCCTTTTTGCCACAATACCATAACAAATATATTTCATCCTGCAAACACAGTTGAAAAAACCACTATCAAAACACAATCTTGAGCTTTGAAATAAACTTCCACATACTGTGTTTGTGCATTTGTAAAGAAACTGGAGGTGATGAAAGGTACGCTTGAAAGGCGAAAAGGGTAGAATTTAGGCTTCCCACGCCGTCCGTATTTCAATAGATATGCTCCTTTCTTCAGAATCGCTATCGCCTGCACCGAGATATATGGCAACGTTAAATCAGACTTTAGATAGATTGAAGATAACCTCTACCGCCAAAATCTCAAGCAAACCTGCTCATTCTCCCTCTCTGTGGGAATATTTCTCTGGAAACAAGCCATTCCAAGTTTTAAGATAGCTTAGATCACAACAGCAAACTGGAAAAAGAGCACCAGATGATTCCAATGCTCGCCCCATATAATAAAACCCCCTTTTGCCTTAGGATTCTCAAAAGTTTCTTTATCCTAAAACGTTGGAATCGAAAATCCCATCACGACGTAACAACTTCTGAATTTAATCGCATTTGCGTTCATCATTTTCCCTAATGATTAAGTATGAAGCAAGGATGAACAAAGACAGGAATCAGTAATCGGTGTTAATAATACAAATGACACACGACAACGAATGATCAAAGATCAGATAGAACCGCAAACCTAAGTCCTTCCTTGTTCCACACGCCAGAATCCCAAAAAATAATCTCTATGTTGAGAGCCAGAGAAGCTCCTAACAATACGATGGGTAATATATTCTTATAGAGAAAAGAAACTAATAGTTACGCCTAATCCTACCCTTTTCTGGGTTTCCTCGTCTAGGTCTCTGGCTTGACTATGAAGAAATCAGACAGATTTGTGATGGGAAGCCAGAGGAAAAGAAACAAAAGAACACAAGAAGGAGATTCTGAGACCCAGCGACGACGACAACAACAGGTAAGAGAATAAAGGTCCTATTGTTGTTTGGTCTCAGATGCGTTTATCTGTTATTTACAGTTGTTTCCATTTCTTCTCCTTTTTTCATTCAGGTGCCATGTTTTATTTCTCAGTTTGACCAAACCTACGTGCCTGTTTTTATTTAACTCCATATACTTCTATATCATTGGGTTAGATACTAGAATAGTAGAATGATATAAAACACTAATATTTCTATGTAAATATATCATCAACAAGACTACTATAGAGGTGCTATAGTGTAAACTTTAACAATATTTAATTTTTTGAAGAAGAAAAAAACTGAAAAACAGCGAGTTTGGTATGCAAATAACAAATAGTAATACATGGTGGTTTAGAAGAGCATTGACAGAGAGAGAAAGATTACACATCTTCTAAGGTTTTATACCACAAAATCCCATGTAATCAAATCCAGTCCTCTTGGTTGAACTACTCATCGAAGGTGCTCAAGAACCCACCAAGGAAACCAGCTCCATTGCAGTCACCACACAACACCTCCTTTTTACCTCTGCCCACAAGATATTACAAAAATGATATCAAAGTAATGAGTTTTTTTTTGTGTGTGTGTGTTGTGTTGTGCAGAAGGAGTAAGAAAGAAAAGGAGATAAGAGATGTTGCAAACCTGCAAAGCCAGCAGAGTGCACCAGCTTTAAACTGTCCATTGAAATGATCAATCAAATTCACACCACCTCCTTTGCATTGAGAACAAGCCACACACCCTTTTGAAATTCGTTTACACAATGTCAAATTACTAACCAATTCATAAGTATAAACTAAGAGAATTTATAAACCGGGTAAGAGCTTACCGTTCCCTTCACAATTTGAACAAAGTATACTGTTTACTTTAGTGCCACTACTGTCTGTAGCCTATTTATCACCAAAAGGTAAGATTTTTAATCAATGAAATGGTAAATTTGATAGAGAAGAACATGAGTTTGGGAAAAAGAATCTAACCTTAATCTCAAAGCTTTGGGATTTGGTGGAAGTGTGAAGCAGCTCAGTCTTCTGAACCAAGGACGAGGTCTTATCATTAGTTGAGAAGAAGTGAGTAGGCTTAGAGTTTTTGCTGGGAGATTGGAAGCAAACGGTAGGAGGAGAAGAGAAGAAGCATAGTGAATTCGCCATTTTTTTCTTCTGTTTTCTGATTCTTCTTACCCACTCGATAGCAGATAAGATAGATGGCTCTCTCTCTCTCACTTCTTTACCAAAATATCATCCTTTTTATTCAACCAGTCCAAAACCAGATCCACTTAACCGGTTTTCTTTAGACCCAAACCCAATTTCACATTTCATTTGCTCCTCTTTATGATAAAGCTTTGATCTTTTTGATGTTGTTTCATTTGTTGTTAGTATCTTACGATTTGAAAAAATGGCAAAGGTTAGAGCTAATTTACTTATTTTTTCTCAAAAGACCCATAAAGGTCATAACTTCTTTATCCTATGGACAACCACATCAAAAACAAGAATTGGCTAAGGCAAAACCCACAAGGACGGACATTAGACGATGTTAGGAAATACAAAACGACGGTCCTTCACAAGTTGTCTTGTCTCTGTTTCCAGTTAAATCGTGTTGCTACTCCTTGTAGAGCCGCCCAAGACTTCATTCATTGGCTTTCAGCCGCTCTCCAAGTAGTCGAGAAGACCACGAGTCAGCTGCACTAGCATACCTTGGACATGGCTTACTCACATTTGAGGTATTATACATCAAAGATGTTTGTGTCTGCACATGCCCTGTCATCTCTGAAATATCTTGTGTCTGGGGATCGGGTTGGATTGGAAGGACAAGAACTGTTGCTGGAGGAGGAAGAGTTGCAGCAGATTGTTGATAGCCGGCTCCTTTGAAAATGGGAAGTCCTGGGAACTGAGCTGCAAGTTCGGGATGTTGTTGTTGATAATGATGATGGTGGTACTCGGGTGCAGGAGAGGTGTTCAAGTCAGGTTTGGACTGATTCACTTTTGCTTCTATCTCACTCTGTAGTTTCGAGATCTCGGTCTCGAGCACTGATGTTTCTTCCTTCAGCTCATTCTTCTCTGTGGCTACCTACACCCAACACAAGTTTCCATCAACAAGACGATCGAGACAAACCTCCAAACAAAGATTTTCGAAGCAACATCCGTCTTCGCTTCCTAAACCGTGTCACAGGATACATTAACACAATCAATGAGCATAGAGAAATTGACTTACATAGCTAGATTCAGAGAGAAGCGAAGCGTGCTCCTTTCTTAAGGACTCAATTTGACCAAACACATCCTTCAAGAATCGAGTAGCTTCACATAGTATGGAAGCTTTACCACTGTTCTGTTGATTAAGTTCTGAGACAAGAGAAAATGTTCCCAGTTAGAAATCACAATCACATTCAAAATTTTGACCAGACTCACTAACATTTACATAAAGTTAAAAGCCTAACTCAAGCAAATGTTCATTAAAAGATGTGAAATTTTTACCAAGTGTATCGGCTAATTCAATGAAAAGCTCATTCAAATGCTCACGCTTAAGCCTCTCACGAACAGCCTTGTTAACCCTTTTGGGCACTTTACCTTTTCTACACCTGTTAAATTACACACTAAACACAATCAATCACCACCACAAAAGGGTTCTATAATCTATATTGGAGTATCCTATCTTGCTAAACATAAACAATCACCTTTCATCTGCAGTAACATTTGCTTCATCAGACGATGTAGAAGGAGATTTCGACACCATCCTTAACAATTGTAAGAAACAAGATTCTCTGTCAAGTCACCTGAAAATGAAAGATAAAAGATGTTAAAATGAATCTGAGAAATCCTTCATTCATCTTTATATAATCAACCAATCATGAATCACCCCTTAATGTCAAAAATAAACACAAACCTACCAACAACAAACAGAGAAACATGGGAGCAACAAAGACAAAAATCAAAACTTTAGTGTGATTTCTGATTCCTCAAAACCCAAGAAGTGCTTTTAGATTCTCAACTTTTTAAGCAACCATCATATCAAAACAATAACAGTAAAGAATTATCAAATAATATCACGGCTAATAAAGTCCTCACAAGCTCAAATCAAACATACGAAAAGACTCAGTAAGTACCTTTTCTCCGGTGAAGGAGCTCGTCGGGGATTATTGTTGTAGAGGATTGAAAGGATTCGAAAACGAGTTAGAGAAGAAAATAAGAAAAGCAAAGAATCTGAGAAATTTGAGAAGGAAAGAAAAATAAAAATAAAAGAAGGGAGAAGGGAACAGGGGCGTGTGGGGAAAGAGAGAGAGGCGCGTGGAGAGCACAGAAGAAGTGGTGCGTTTAAGTGGACACGTGAGCTCTACATGTGCCTTTCTCTTTTCCTGTTTTGTCTTTTTCTATTACGTTGCGTGCCACTGAGCTCTTGTTTCATTGACACGTCATCGTATCTTAATTCTCAAGTGGAGTAGTTTTTTTTTGTTACAGGTAAAGTTTATATCATTAGGAAAGTATTATTTTGTGATTCCTAGAAATTATTTTGATTTTGTGATTAATAGTACCAAAAACGGTGTATATTATAGCATAATGAAACGGCTACCAATTATAAATATATAGTTTTTATGATCAGCTACGATAAAAAAAAAACGATACATAATGTGTTTCAACGGTATATGGTTGGTTATAAATTACTAAATGTAAGATTATGTGTATTGAAATTCTAAAATCAATTTTTTTATAACAGAATAGTGTAGTTACCCAATTAAATTTTAGAAAAGAAAAAAAAATTGTTGTCCACTGCTTTACTTTATTTTTTAATATAATTATTTTGGGCGTTTTTTGACTTTTTAATATAATACAAAGGGGGACGTGTTGGGTTGGGTGGTCAACGTCGATGGATAATAAAGGCATGGAACGGTCCGTCGAGGGCTGGTGACGTCTCTCCTCCGGCGCGGCTGGCGTGTGCTTCCCACAAACTCCTCTATTTTAATTGTTATTGAAACGCTCTTATTTCATAAACCGGACGGTTCAGAAACAAAATCCACAACCGGAGAGCCTCTCCGATCCGAGCCTTCCCGGTTTGTTAGAACCAGGATTTACTTACCGGACCGGGTCTGAAACTATTGGTTAAGAAACAAAACTTCTGACCCCAACCTCCATTCACGGCGTTTGTTCTTCTTCCTCGCTTCTACACTACGCCGCCGCCTTCACGTCTTCTTCACTTGCTCTCCTCTTGAATCACTAACACTTTCGAGGCTTTGTTTCGCTTCTCTCTACTCCAAGGTTTGTGTCCATCTCAAAGCACAGCGATTTTTATAAACCTAATTTGTAGAAGAAACGTTACCTAGATCACTTGAAAATCTAATTGATCGCTCTAACCAGAGTACCAGACGCATTACATTTGATACAAGGGTCCTTTTCTGGGAATGGAAACTACTCAAAGAGATGAGCTTTCAAGCTTTTTAAATGTTCTTCCTCCTGTGGACTTCTGTTGTGTCTATGGTTCGACATTGCACCCAAATAACCAAGATAAGGTCTTTTATCTTATCCTGGAACTCTCTCTGATGGTTGAGCAATTCCTGTATTTTGCTAATTGTGTATGAGAAAATGCAACCTTTTGCTGTTACAGTCTAAAATGGTAGACTATATACTTGGAGTCTCTGATCCTATGAAATGGCACTCTGAGGTGAGATGTATCTTTTGATTACAATTGTTAGGTTTGGAGCTATTTAGAATCCCACAGATCCTAATTAGAATTTTTTATTTATTTATATTGTGTGATCAAGAATCTGAAAATGAATTCAGATCATTATGCTTCATGGATGGTTCACCTTGGTGGAGCTAGGCTGGTATGTTTCTCCTGATGTTCCTTACTCTTGCATTGCTTATACGGCTTTAATCATATACTGAACATACAGTTTTTTTATTGGCCAAGAATAGATAACGAACGTTGCTGATAAAGTTGGAGTTGGAGTTCACTTCAATCCATTTGTCAATTGGAACGACAGAGTAAGAACTAAGAACTTCCTCGAAAATTCAGTGTTGTTTAAAACATTATGAACAATCTAATTTTGTTAATTCCTAGCTTGTATCTGTATATTTATGTTTATATTCTGCTCAGCATGATCACATTGTACGTATGCTTAAGCCATTTTTCTCGTATGATTTATTTCTTTGTGAAGCTATTTGCAGAAACTCAAGTATGGGGTTGTTCGGATGCACGACCTTGTACAGGACATACTGGACTGGAATAGATTCTACTTGAGTGGCCGTTTACAGAAACCGGTATGTCAGTTGTATTGGTGTTCTTACTAATAATAACTGTAAATCATGAGATGTTTCAGGAAAGTTTCTTTGGTTGCAGGTTCATTTGCTTGTTGATAATCTGGACATAGAAGGTGTGAATTCTGTTAATAAGAGAGCTGCAATATCTGCAGCTCTTCTTCTCTTGCCACCAAAATTCACCGAGGTTGGTTTTTTGTTCAGTGCTCAGGTTATTTGAAGTTTCATTAGATTGTACACTATAACTCACCAAACTCTTACACAGGAAGATCTCTACGCCAAAATATGCAGCCTTTCCTACATGGGAGACTTGCGAATGTTTTTTGCAGAGGACACTAATAAGGTGAGAGGACTATCATTTATGGTAAATTTGTTTTCAGAACATGTATATTACTTTACTTTTTCGAGTGACTAGATATATGATTCATTAGTTCAATCCCTTGCCTTCTAGGTAAACAAGATTGTAAAGGGACAATCTGATCTCTTCCAGTCAATGTATAAGCCTTTTCTTGAAGAGTGCGAGACCAAAAACTTAATGAGATCCTCATCGGCTGAAGCTAGTCACACTAAATTAGTTCAGGTATACACAGTTTATAGCTCCATCACCATAGATATAACTCAATCTTGAGATTTCCCTAATACATATCCTTCTCAACTTGTGAGCAGGATTCTAGCCTTTCAGCAACACGTTCGCTGGTCTCTTCTCTCCCTGCATCAGTGAGAAGCCAAATGGGGAAGTCACTAGGGGAGAAGAAAATCGTGAGTGAGACAGGTATCAACTTGGATCTTTCTCTAGTTATATACCATATACAAGGAAACGGAGGCATGATTCCTGATGGTGGAACTGGTATATACATATGTATAGGTAGAGTTACAGGAGAAGTGTGTATAGGGTCAAGAGAAGAAGCTGCGAAATGTATGGAGAAAGTAATGAGGCGAAGGGTAATGGTTTCAAGCGCAAGACAAGCGGTGTCTGGTTTCATGGCTGCTGGAGCTATTAATGCAACTATGTATCTTTCACAAAAGATGCGCAAAGCTTGGAATTCTCGGACATGACTTTGCCAAAAACTCCCCACACGAAGATGTAGACTGAACAAGTTGAGGAAAGTTTAGATATTTTATCTCCAATAGTTGATGACTAGTTTTCCCTTTTTGTCTCTCTAATAAGTAACAAATCCCAAGGAAGTAGTTTTGTCTTCTGATATCATAGATGATATAGAACAACAATAGGAACAAGGCCCACCTATATAGGTACATGTTAGTACATTTGGGCTTAGGTCAATGAGAGCCTATTCTCTTTCTGTCTCACCAACAGTCTTTTGTGATATTGTTGCATGAGATATCAAAAAATGTTTTTCTTAAAAGTGATAATTATCATAACCATTATTGATGACAAACACTCACTATCGTAGCCGAATCCATGGTAGTGTCTAGTAGTCTAGTAGCTAAGAATGTTTGCGTTTTAGGAAGCCTCAAGTTTCAAGTTTCATGTCACACGTTGCTCACATAATAAGGTAAATATTTGTAAGAAAGGATACTCAAAACCATTTAACATATATAAGTTTAAAAGACGCATTATTTTAAAACATATAAAAAAAAAAACCAACACACATGGTTACAATATTTGACCCCGTGACTAGTTTAAAGGTTGACACTTTTAATTGTACATGGCTATATATATAAACACTTTATTTTGTAATTTCTTTCTATAAATACACATTGGGGACCAAGTTTTACGTTTCCGTACGCCGGTGGCTTCCAAAATTAAAAAACCCCCCCATGTGATCTAAAACTTTACCCCAACTGTAACTATTAAAGTTTGTCCATACAATATATCAGTTTGACTACTTGCGTTCGTACGCACTACTCCAATATATTTATATGGTTCTTTACGTACGTAGGTGTAGGTGTCGTCCGAATTTTTATAATGGCATATATTTATGTAAAAATATATGATGCAGAAACTAATCTATAGATAGCACACTCATCCAGTCATCTATTAATTTATTACCAAATTTATATCATTAGATATCGAGGTTAGGTATAAGTTATAACATATAATGATGAGAACGTACGTACGTGAGAATCTATTAATACCCATACTATTAATATTTAATACGAATTTAAAACATTAGATCGGAGTTAGCTATATTTCATTATGGATTTTATAAAACATACACAAAGTTTTCATTATATATGTAATTAAACCACGTCAACCTTCAGGTCGAACTAATGATGTAGATATATATCACATTTCCCTTACAAAAAACAAAAATAACGTAGTTGTATGTTTTTATAGATTCATGGTTTGATTACTAAAACTACTATACTACTACTACATAGAGTAATTGGTGTGTGTTTTGCCATTTTTATTACAGTGTGTGAGTGATGTAAAAAGTGAAAAAAGGAAAGATAGAATTTTGGTGTCAGTGTGGTGGGGGAAAAAAGTGAACGTTGTTGGATTAGGGAGAGATAGATAGATTAGATGGTGAACGAAGGCAAGTAAGTAAAAGGAAGAAAGAGAGGTCCACAGGAGACGACAATCACTGCCACCTGATAACGTTTTAGGTCCCACGACTCTTACAACGCTACAGTCCTCATGTCACCACCACAATCAATCTCCTCTCCTCTCTCTCTCTACTTATTGGTTTTCATTTTCTTTTGTATAATTTTTTTATTTATTTATTATACATTCATCAATGATATCTTATTATATAGTCTGCAATAATACTTAATTTCACATTTATTTTGTATTTGTTTTCTGTTTCTTTCATTTTTGTAAAACTTATCACAATTCTATAGAATTTTTTCGTATAAAATGTTATTACCGTCCGTAATCTTAGGTTTCGAATGGTGACGATACAATTAACTTAAAATCTAATCTAAAAGAACTGTAAGAATATATATTATATATGCTAATAAGTAAACAAATCAAAAATAGAGTAAAATATTTTTCTTTTATAAGTTCTTTTTAGCTATAAATGTATAAGTAAACACACAAAAAAAAGAATAACCGAAACAATCATCCTTCTTTGGGTGTATTTTATTTAAGGAGGCGTCTTTGAAACATAGATCAATCTCTTAAATTCAGTTAGTCTTGATTAAAATATTTGACAATCATATACAAAATCAGATTGATTGTTTTAGTGGGGACAAACGACAAATAAGCAAAAGATAAAAATGAATCATATACTAAAAAAAGCATTCTATATATATAAAAGATCAAACGAGATGTTTCTTTTTTATGTTATGTTTTGTGTATCGTTTTCGTTCGACCATGTAAAAACAAACGGAGACACTTTGCTCTTTTCTATTAGCTTCAAGGGCCAAGTGAGAACGAGATTGGTAGGCCAAGCTGAGAGATAGAAATAGAGAGAGGCCCATCTCATGATTCCCTACACAACAAAACAATTTCTCATAATTTCACATTTGTATTATAACATTATAGTTTAAACCAAAATAACAATAAGATTAGATGTAGGTTGATGTATAATGTTTTCAACTGAGATAACAAACAATGAATTATTTCGCCAATAGTTGAAAATTTTCTTTATGTGTGTAATTAAGTTTCTTAATGGATAAAGAAAAAACTAAGATGATTGAGAATCGAGACAGTGACACTAACAGAAGAAAATAAAAACATTTAAATAATAATAATGATAAAAAAAAAAAAAGTGTCATATTCTCCTCAAAATCCAAAAAACCTGACATAAAAAATCTCGTGTACTATTTAATCACTCACTCACAAGAAAAATCAAATTTAAATCAAAGTAATTAAAAATCACAAAAAAAAAAAAAAAAATCTCACGTGTTTTGTTTTTTTTTTTTACTTAGCAAAAAAAACAAACAAAAAAATTACTACAGAAGATAAAAAAAAGAAATTAACGGCGAAAACAAAAGTATTACACAGCCGCCACCACCGCCGGCAGCGAAATCCACCGTTAAATTGTTCTTTTTGTGTGTGTGTGTGTGACTATTCTTGTGGATCCTCTTCATCACCACCTCCTCCAAGTGATCCACTAGCTTGAGATTCGCCGGAAACTTGCCGTCCGTACTGATTCAAGCCTGAGAGAATATTATGATGATGTTGATGTTGATGATGTTGTTGTTGATGATGATGTCTCTGTAAACTATGATGATCACCTCCACCACCACCACCACCACCGTCACTTCTTCCTCCTCCTCCTTCATTATTATTATTATTATTATTATTATCTTCATTAATCTCATGATTACTAGTTGTTGCTAGCTGTTGTTGTTGTTGTTGTTGTTGTCCAGTAAGAAATGCCATTGGCGCTGCGAAATTCATAAAATGCAAACCGCTAGAAACCGCGCCGCCCGAAACGCCTGAAACGCCACTTCTGTATAACGCAGCTGCCGCGGTGTTGATTGAAGGAAACGTCCAAACAGGCTCACCGCCGCTGCCGCCTCCACCGCTACCAACTGAAGCTGTCATAAGACCTCCTGTTTGGTTGTTGTTACCACCACCTGCCGCTGCCGCAGCCGCCGCAACCATCCAGAAATTTCCCGGTATCTGCTGTGCCGCGGCTGCGGTGGCCGTAGATCCGCTGTTGCTAGATTGAAGAGTATAGCTTCCGATTTGGTCGTGTTGGTGCTGAAGTTGCAAATCCGACGTCGTTTGGAGTCTTCTTTTCTTTTCCGAGCTTAACTCATCTGAATCTTGATCTCCTTCTTGTTTTGTCGGATTATGGAAGTTCAAGAACGACGTCGTTGGCGTGAAGTTATCAATACCAGGAAACAAAGACGACGTCGTTGCACGTCCCTGTAGATGAGGATGATGATGAAACCCACCGCCACCACCACCTCGTTGCTGTTGTTGTTGAAGCATCGCCGGAGAAAATATGTTATTAGGGCTAAAAGTGGAAGCGGCTGAGCGGAAATGAGAAGGAAGAGACATAGAAGAGCCTGAAGAACGGAGAGAGATGTTTAAAGAAGTGAAATTCGCCGGGATAGTTCCGGTTCCGGTGGCGGCTATAACCGATGGCTCAGCTTGTTGGAGTAGCCACTCTATAGTCTCACCGTCTGATTTATGACCGAGCTCTCTCGTAAGCTGAAACACTCTAGCTGCACATAACGCCGGCATCCTTATCCTCCTCCCTCTTCCGTCTACTTTTGTGTGTCGGTCTTTAGTGGAAGCTCGTTTCAACGGCGGCTTTTTAGCTGCCACCACCGCCGTAGACTCCTCTTGTGTTTGTTGTAATAACTCCTTTTGTGTTGTCTGCGGTTGTGGCTTTTGTGGTTGAGGTTGTTGCTGTTGAGATTGAGATAATTGTTGGTGTTGATGAAGAGAGAAGAGAGTAGAGGAGGAAGAAGGAGAAGGCTGCTGTTGGTGGTTGTCGTCGGGGTCACGTTTTCCGAGGAGTTGAAAAGGGAAAGTAGGGCGGTGGTGATGGTGGAGATGACGGTGGTGATCATCTCCTCCTCCTCCTCCTCCGACGTTGTCTCCACCGTCCATTATGACATTTAAGATACTTGATGTTGGCTTTTGCATATATAAGTGGGGAGAGCTATAATGATTTTTATATATATTTATAAAAAATTAGGGTTTTGGTTTTTATGTATATATATGTGATTTTTCTTGGGGACAAGAGAGAAATGAAAAGTGTAGATCGAATTGTTTGAAGGAATTGAGTGAGAAGGAGAGGATAAGAGTGAGAGAAGAAGAAAAAGCTTAAAGAAACAAAGATCATGAGTGAGAGAATTATATGGGTGAGAGCTTTACATACCATTAAAATTTTAAAATAACTTAAAAAGAAAAATCTCATTGCATCTTTTTTTTATATGTTTTTTTTTTTTCAAACAAAACAACTGTTCATTTCTTCTTTATATATTTGTACATATCATCTTTTACACCATAATGATATGATAACTAGAAAAAATATTTTGGCGAAAAGAAAAAAATGAAAATAACTAAAAATCACACTAAGAGAAACGTCAACAATGGGAGTATCATTTAATAGTTGAAGAAAAAGAAAAAGTGTAATTATCAAAATCAACGCAACAAATAGATTGATGCAATTAGCAAAACACCAATAAACTTTGAAATTTTCAACGTTAATTACAGCTATATGTTCTATCAAAATCAATCCGTTAAAAGTTGCTTAATTGGTCTAAGCTTAGATATCGACACCATGGTTTTTTTTTTATGAAAATCTTTTTTTTATTTATACATCAAAGTATGTTATTGTGCTTAATAACAATATCTCGTCAACTTTGAAATTAAAACAGCATTAACGTACAATATATAGGGTTTGCTAATGAAACAAATATGTCACGATATCGAAAGATTTATGTACTTTTATGGGATCATCGTTATAGACATTAATAAAAATTAATTATATTCTTCTTCTTCTTTTTTCTCAACAATCTCATGTATATGTAAAATGATTAAAAAAAATGGTGGGAAAAGCCCCACCGTGAAAAAGGGCAACAATATTTTCACAGTACAACACTTTTATTTTTCACGACAAGTTAAAAATGGAAAAATCTGAACGTTGCGTTAATAAATGAGATGAAAAGAAAATGTAACAAGAACAAGAACAAGGTGGTCTTTAATAATATATATACATGATAAAGAGCAAATGTAAGAGAGAAATATAAATAGGAGTATAGTAAGTAAATATGTATAAGGGAATTAAAAGAAGGATATGGTTGGAGAGAGTCGTTGTGGATGCAGAGTCCACGTGAGGTGTCCTCTTTTATCATTCATTCCATAAAGACAATGGAGAGAGGTCGACGAAGACGATCATGGGGCCATCACACTCCTCTTCTCTAATCTCTCTCTATTACAAAAACCAAAAAAAAAAAAAGATGAAAAAAGAAAACTCTCATTTGATCAAAAATTTAGAAATATTTTTTTCAAAAACTTTTGGTCCCACTTCATTCACGTAATCATTCTTCTCCTGCTACTTTTGCCGGTTATATATAATTAAACATTATCATCATTATTCATTAGTATATAGTTTTAAACCAAAGATTATTATTCTATTTGGTTTAGTCGGATATCAAATCTCTATATGTATGTAACTATGACACCAATGGCCAAAAGTTGTATTATGTTTTCGTGTAGGGTTTTTTTCTTTTCTTTTTTGGTTAGAGTTCTTATTTCTTAGAAATAGGGATAACATGAAAACTTAGCATGTTAAAAAAGATATAACTAGCATGCCGATATATTTAGGTTTTTGTTAGACTTTTATCAACTATCAAGATTTTGGTAGTATCCGAAGAAATGATTATTGATGCATTTCAAACTCTTTGACGAGTTGTATTTACATATTTGTTTTGCAGTTTCAGATCTCGAATGGGTTCTAGGGAATGACAACAAAGCAACAGGTCGTTTAGGTAAAGATGAGTTTTCGTATAATTTCTGATTTAATTTGTATCACATTTTTATGTTCGAAGTGGGTAATACAAATCTTCCATGAAAAACACTCTTGATAATTCAATGAAATGCTCATGTTAAAAGAACAATACGTATATATATTTGGTAACATTTATTTTGTCAACAATTAAAATTATAAAATAAAGAAACACAATGAATTAAAAGTATGGTAGAGTAAATGTGGATGATGATAGCTTTGGGATTCCCTCTCTTATTTATTTATTATTTAAATCGAAAAAACTTTGATAAATATGCATGATTATATATGATGATGATGATGGTACTTTTCTTTCGTCTAATGGGGGTCTTAATTAAATTTGATAACTAGGGTTGAATTAACAAAAATTTCAGGGCACTAGGCTAGGGCTCTCAACCTTGAATAATTACAATTCCTTTAGTTTATTACTACTATACATACTTAACAAAATCACACTAATCAATTGGTTTTGTACTATGAATTAAATTATTGTAGATTGAAGTCTACTCCCACCTAGGACGGAATCAAATGAATTGTTTCATATTATTCATAAATGTAAAATGACAGAAACACACACAAGTGGTCGGTCTAAATTATAAATAGTATTACTATATATACTAACCATGTGTGATGTGTGTACCTGTGAATTATAATTATTCATTTTACAATGTAATAACTTACGGCCCCAATAATCCAATACGTACTTACATTGTAATGAATAAAAAAAATACTGTTGGAAGATTTGTATCTATAGCATTACAAGTGTCCTTTTACAGGCAGGTTCACTTTTGAAACTTGATGTTAAATAGGGTGGTACCGGACCTACTGGTCCTTAGACAATATTTTGTTGTCATGACATTTTCTTATTATTACAAACTTAGATGGAAGTAAAAAAGGGTCGGATGTATAATCAATTTCTAGAAATATGACCAGAAACGACTCCGGAGACAAGACCCAAAGAAAAAGAAAAAAAAAAAACTGTAGTAGCTAGTAGCTCGACAACACTCAAAACTCAAAGGTCTAAAACCCAAAATGTATCAAACTCATTGCTCAAACAAAAAACAAAAGACAAGAAATTGAATTAAAGCCAAGTACGAAAAAACCAAAGAAGGTGGCCAAGGTCATATCGACCAACGGCTGCATAATCCTTCTATATAGCGAATAGATCGATACTACCTCTCAAATCAAATATTGTTAGGCCTCTTGATTTGGTTTTTAGATAGATATACGTATAATGATTTATTCACTTATACACACATATTTCATTTTATGTTAGAATAGATAGTGTTTTATTTGGTTAAAATATATTTAATTAACCTCGTTGATATTTCAAGTAACTAGGTAGAACTTGGATACGTATTTTGCAAAAAAAAATATAAAAAAAAATAATAATTAAAGTAACTAGGTAAAAAGTTAAAAATCATATTACATACTAATATTTTGCTTTTGACTATCATGCAACAATTTACCATCAAGTTAAAGTTTTCTTAATCGAAATTATGTTCGAGTTCGAGTTATGTATATGATTAAATTCGGTAGACAATATGACGATATATACAGGCAAGAAAATACAACTGAGGATTTGGATTTGAAATAAATATGTTTCCATTTTGTGAAACAATTTACTTTAATACAAAAAAAATTGATTGGTCTCTTTGATGTAACATATCTTAGCTTATTGTACAAAACAGGCTGGGCATGTTTCATTAACTATATGAATGATACGAGATGTGGGTCATCTTCTAAGTTCCTAACATCTATCTCATGTGTTTTAGCTTTTTTCTTGTCGCAAGCTTCTTTAGTTTATTGTGGTCATTTTGTTTATAGATATATTAATTTAGGTGTCACATAAAACTAAACTACAAATACTGATGATGCATGTTTTTCATGAATCTGATAAGTATGGATTTAACTATTTTTTCTTGTTTAAAATTTAGGTAACATTTATCCCCATGATATACTTCTTAATTAAATGAACCCCACGATTTTTATTTTTAATGTGGGTCTTCTTGTTTGAATTTGCTCTCCATCTAACATAGATGATAGAACGATCTTATATTGTTCCTTAAATTTTCTCAAGAAATTTAATAATTTTTAGCTATTTTTTGCCTTTAGTGTCACATTAGCTACCTTTACCATGCCTAATTGATAATTTCATTTACGTTTTACTATTCTTGATAAACATTTTCTTCGATACATTGTAGATATCGTTTTGTAGGAAAATATATTAATGATGACAAACAAACTACACATCTTTTTATACAAAATAGTATGCTACTATTAACTTACAACATTTCTATAACTATTTGATTTTAAAGTTAAAAAGAAAAAGACAAATACTGTGTGCACACACATATACGAAATCTATAAAAACTTACCTAGAATTTGATCGATAACCAAGTACTACATGTTGGCCAAATGTATAGGCACTTTTTCAAAACGTCAGTAACTTTGTAATGATCGAAAAAAGTATATTATTTAGGATTTTAAAATTAATCAGTAAAAAAAAAGCTTACAAATTTAAAATTAATCTATATGAAGAAGGATTTAAATATTTATTATAGAAAAAAAAGCTGAAAGTGTGAGATTTGCTGGTTGTAACCAGCAAGCTTTTACAGATAAATTACAACTTTCTCACCATTTTTTTGGACCCACTTGTCTCTAAGACTCTTAACGTTGTGATATTTTATAAATGCACCAAAAGATGTAGACACATGAACTTAGTACTCACCAGCTCAGTTACCTCATATATGTTATATATTTTGTTTGGTATTACACGTACAAATTAGTGTATGATTATAGTAATTTAGATAAAATAATAAAGCTTATAATTTAGTGTAATTCGAAGTTAGCATATACGATAGGGGAAAAACGTCTACAAACAGATTCATAATCATAGTTTGGTAATGCATGCAACAGTATGATTAGTCAGTTTGGTTGAAACTTGAGAGCTGAAACGCAGTCGCAACATGCATACAAAATAGCGATTGGTATTATATAGTATACACAGCTGTGTGGTTTTGGATTTGTAAAGAAAACAAAGTGTTGCGTTTGGAGAGACCACATGGCGTTTGCGGTATCGTTAGCAAATAAATGTGGCTATTGAAATAGACATCTTACCTTCTAACAATTTTGCCAGATGCTCTGTTGGCTTCTTTTGTCCCAATATGTATATATATTACAATCCCTTTTAATTTCTCTCTTTTTCTGTTTTTTTTTTCCCTTTTAATTTTCAGCATCGGCTTATCTGTATATAGTTAATTATACTGTGAGTTGTATTTGCGTATTCTAATAAGAGTTTCAAGTAGGAATATATATATATATATATATATATAT